TTGTGTTTTTTCAGGAGAGTCCTGGGTTTTCCGTTCCTGTCCCCGGTTGCCAATTTTTTAGATTTTCTCCTTGCCTTTCTTTCACCCCTTTTTCCCCCCCCCCCCCCCCAGTCCCTCCTTGAGATCTTCGATTTATACTACAAACCTCTTCAGCACGTTCATTGCCGCTTGCGTAGCGCCGGCCGATCCTTCAATAGTTCGATTGGGGTGACTAAGCTAGTGAGCCCCAGCGCCCAGTCGTCGTATCTCGCGCTGCAATCTCCCAGACCTTCTTCACCCTCAACAGGCTGATATCTCCGATCGGACCTGATTGTGGCGACTCAATCTTTTCTCTTATTCTCCGGCGCATTCATTTTGTGGTTGCTGTGTCGTTTTGACACTTACTGATCATCCGCCCCCGGATTCGATCCTCACCCGACCTACATCTACTTGAAACCACGACGCACGCGCGGCCCTTCTATTCTCATACTGATCGCCTCGGTGTGAATGGATACTGGAAAGATCTGTCAACCAGAGCGTTTCTGGACGTGATATCTATCTGGCGACTGAACCTCCGCACTTCCGCCTCACATTCCTTCGACGCCTTCTACGTCACTCATCATGGCCGAGTGAGTGAACCCGCCATTATACCCATTGGCAACTTGAATCGAGTATTGACATCCAGAGGGACAGTTTAATTGCCTTTCAAACCACTCATCATAGCTTTTTCTCCCGATCCAACATGATCCCCCGCAACGCTCACAAGAGGTCACTCTCCTCGGAGCACCGATCCCTGTCCCCTGACCGGACCGTCACCAAGGCCAAATCCACCACCAACCTGGCAGATATCGCTTCCTCCAACGGAAAGCCCAGATCAAAGTTCGATGACAGCAGTTTTAGCACCTTGCAGGATCCGCGATTGACGGACGGCTCGGAGGTTTCACATTCGACGTCATCGTCTCACCACCCCGATTTGAGCAATGAAGTCGCCGCTCTGTCCGTGAAATTGATCCAGGCTATCAACAACCAAACAAATCTTGATGACAGCTTGGTCGCTACCCGCCAAGAATTAGAGCTGGCCCAGGGCAAGATTCAAGCTCTTGAATTTCAAAATGATAAATACCGCCGAGACTTGGAAAACAAGGTTTACATCAAGAAATCCGACTCGGACCGCGAAATTCTGCAATTACGAGATGCACTTGCAGAAGAAACCACTCAACGAACAGCCGCCGAAAAGGGCAAAAAGACCATCGAGCAAGAATTGGAAACTCTTACAGCGGCCCTCTTTGAAGAGGCCAATAAGGTAGGTTTCAATTTTACTGCACGCATCGTTATAGTTCTAACACCTATTTAGATGGTAGCCGCGGCCAAAATCGAGCGGGAGGCGGTGGAGAAGAAGAACGAGCAATTACGCTCACAAGTCAAAGATACAGAGATGCTCCTAGCGTCGCACCAGGATCAGCTAGCTGAACTCAAGTCCGTCATGCAAGGGATGCACATACACAAAGATGAGGTCGAAACTCGCCCGGCCACCGCCCCTCCATCGCCAGCTGGGCCTCCACAGGCTCCTGGTTCTACTAAGCCAGACTCTGAGCTGGAAGTTATTCCAGCGTCAACTGAGAATGACGAAGAACTCACACCCGGACCCTCTTGCAACTTCCCGCAGATCCTACGCATGATCTGTCGGACTGACCTGCAGGCTTATGAGGATTTCCGTGACTTGCTGGTGCTTTCCCGCAGCTCTAAGCCCCCAAGTCGGGCCACTAGTGGATCATACGGAGGTCTAAACGTGATGGGTCTGGCAAGCTTTGCAAGTGGTGGAGTCTCATCAGTGACCTCATCCCCCACCAAGGGATTCTCGCATTCGCCCAATGGGAGTATGTCTTCTACAACCGGGTCACATATTCCTTTGAAGGAAACCCGTTTCTATAAGCGCGTGCTTATGGAAGACATTGAACCCACCCTCAGATTGGACCTCGCGCCGGGGATATCATGGTTGACTCGCCGTACCGTACTCAGTGGCATATGCGAAGGCAGTCTTGTCGTGGAGCCAATGCCTACGGCAGCCAAGAAATTCGAATTCCCCTGCTCTGTCTGCGGTGAACGCAGGCCCGGCGCTCCGAATGAAAGAACCCACCGTTTCCGCACATCAGATAGTGAAACTGCTCAGCGCTATTCACTCTGTATGCTTTGCTTAGAAAGAGTACGCTCATGTTGCGAATTTACTGGATATTTGCGCCTCATTCTTGATGGACACCTTCGGGCAGGTGATACTGAAGAAGAGAAAGAAATCTGGGATGAGACCATCCGCCTGCGAGAGCGAATGTTCTGGTCTCGAATCGGAGGCGGTATACTCCCCTTGCATCGTCCAGCAGATTCAACTCATACGGAAGCCACAGAGTTCAGTGTTAACCCTACTGGGGAGTATGATGATCAGTACCTCCATCCCGTGGATGTTACCAAAATCGATCTCAATACCGAGAGCGGATCTTCAGGAACGGAACACACACTTGCACCTGAAACAGCTGATTCTCGGTCTGTGGATGAGAATGCGATCCCTTCCGGTGCGTCTCGGCCTCAAAGTTCCATCTACGACCGAGATGAAGATGATATCGCTTCTATCATGGACGAGGAGCGCAAACGGATTTCTGTAGATTCGGAACACAGCATCTACGAAGAAGCTGCCGCCGAGGTGGATCTTGCTCCTGATCACGGCACTGACGCTCCCATTGTGCCCTCCATTCAAGAGCCCGAGCCGCAAAAGCCCGATACAGAAGAACTTGATACAGATAATGCCAAACCTACTGGCCCGAGCAACTCTTAGACCTCGCATAGGTCCGAGCGATCAATACGAGCGAGACGACTACACGGCTTACCCAGCATTTCACGATACACCTAATGTCCTTCATCCTTCTTGGCATTGCATTCTCAGGTCACTTAATTTCTCTTCCAGATGAAGCCGTCGATAAAGGCTTTTTTGGGGCCTTTTTGGGGGCCTTTTTTGGGGTCTTTTTGGACATGCTGCCTTCAGCTCTACCTTACCTTTAATCGCCCTCGTCAACACCCGACGATCTACTTCTTGCACCCAACTACTTGGGCATATACCTTCTTCGTTCCCAGCATGTCTGCTGTGTATTATTATTTCCCCTTTGCTTTCGACTATGTATACATAATAATGCGTTTCGTTTCTTGTCCGGTTTCATTTCTTCTGGACACTTGGTCCTCATGCTCCTCGCTGTTTTTATCTTCGGGCTCACATCCCGCAATGGTGTCTTTCCTAACCTCTTTCCAAGCCTTACTGCCAGTGGAAGTGATATGCTACTAAACGATAGATGAATCTGAGTCAACTTGCATACATGAACAGTACCTCCGCTTAAACAGATCTTTGCTGAAGATGCGACTTAGCCAGATTTGCGCTACGAGTAAGATGTTCAAGTCAGCCACAGCATGTAAGAAGAGGTATGATCTGACAAGATGTTTCATGGGCTAAGAGTAGAGGCTAGCGTTTTACAACTGGTTCAAATTGAAGGCACTGGAGCTCGCATGTGCGCACTGGTAATATTCTGTACAAGGGTCCGATAATCATACATGTTTCTAACCGCTAAACTGTTCCTTTGAGAGCTCAACCAGAAGCTTGCTCTCGCTGTTCCTTCTCCCGCTTTTGCTGCTGTCGAATCATCTTCCGAATATCTCGGAGATCTGGCGGACGCTCAATATTCAGCTCGGCCCTAAGCTCATCCACATCCTTCTCCAGGACCTCTTCCCAATACACATTGATAAGTTCATTGCTTCTTAGTCCACTGCGAATAGCCCATGGAAGATGCAACGAGAGGAATCGCTCCTTCTCAGCAGGCTTCATCCGTACAAAGGCAAAAAGACTCAATCCCGTCATGGGCAGAAGTGTGTTCAAGAACTCCAGCGCCTTCAGAGCCAGCTCGCCCTCGACGAAGATCGGCAGTCCCGTCACTGCGTGGTAGAAGTCATGGCACTCGCGGTACCGCTGCATGACATATGCGCACTCTTCGTTGTCAATGTATTGGACGTTGTCTCGAGTGTCCGGAGAGACTCCCTCGCGGTCAAGCCATTTCGCGTATGTTCGGCCAACGGAGTTCTCAGGCAGCGTGCGGAGATGGGTCATCTTAAGAGTTTCGGAGGTGATGCGGGGACGGTCGCGGAGAATGCGGCGCCCTGTTGGGTCTGAGAGCATGGCATCGCGTAGTCGGTATATGAAGAATGGTGTTGCAGTGGCTTCGCCAAGTGCCGCAATGAGATCTACCAGCCTTCATGTTAGAGTTGCCCTTTGTACGGTCATGCTATAGACAAAGACATTGCCATACCAGCCCGTCTAGGATTGACCAGTGATCCAAGCGCTGATCCTATTGCGAGGGCCCCGCGTTCAATAGTGGTCAAGGGGACATGGCCCGGGTAATTTGGTGCTGGTCGGTTTAGAACGGAGAATGATCGTATAGCAGTTGGTGATGTCTTTGAGTTTGTAGTCAGAGCCCTGAGCTCGAGTGCTCCACGCCTCCCGAGAACTGACATTATGGGACCTAAAGCTTGTCAAGATCGTGTGTACAGCTACAGCGAAAGTTGCGGCGAAAGTGGTACGATTATCAGATCGCCCGGACAGCAGAACTGGCTATTGCACCCCACCGTAGACTGCGATAACGCCGCTTATCACCGATAAACATCTCCACACTCGAGAGTGAATTTCAGACGTCGGCCAAGTCAACAGTCAGGTTGCGATTTTTGCTTTCTGGATAGCGAGATTCGACATATCACTCCAGCACTGAGGTACCTTGAATCTGTGATACCAAGCGTACCCTCCCACTATACACGAATCGACTAGCCTCCCCACGGTGTACCGTATAAGAGCAACATGAAGCCAGAATGGTGGCCCGGAGAGGAGCATGCGGCCTTCACTGAGTGGGCTTTCTCCAACGGCATAGAAACCGACGCAGTGACTCCAGCCCGTCTCCAAGGCCGAGGACTAGGAATGGTGGCCACCCGAAACATCAAAGTATGAGACCAAAACTATGTGCCTGCACATATACTTACCAAATTGAAAAATAGAAAGGGGACGCGGTTCTGAGGGTCCCAACAAAGCTGATGGTAACTGTGGATGATATTCCTACCAGCTTTACCGAGAAGCTCCCAGAAGATATTGCCGTGCAAGCACTGCTTGCGGGGTACCTTACTCACGGCGATCCCGAGCAGCTAAAGAGATACGATGCGTGGCGCAAATCATGGCCCAGTCGACAAGACTTCGAAGATAGCATGCCGATCCTCTGGCCAACAGCACTAGGTGGACCGCAGTGGCCTATGAGCAAAGATACGCTCAACTCAGATCAGCCGAGTCTTCTTCCTCCGTCTATTTCAGGACTCTGGCCTAGTTTGAAGCCTGGCCCAAAGACAAGGAAGTATACCATGGATTACCAGGATATCCTCGCCGAGCAAGCTCAGCGTCTACGCAAAGCATGGACGGATATCACATCTGCATACCCAGAGACCAACTGGGAAGATTTCTCCTACCACTGGCTAATTGTTAATACGCGGAGCTTCTACTGGGTTGGAGAGGGAAAGGAAACGCCCGAGGACCCTAATGATGCTATGGGACTCGTCCCGTTCGCGGATTACTTTAATCATGCGGATGTTGCCGTATGTTACCTGATTACCTTCATATGCACGCGCTAATCATGACCATAGAGAGATGTCAAATTCGACGAGCACGAATATGTGTTCCGCGCCACTAAGGATTATCAAGAAGGAGAAGAGGTCTTTATGAACTATGGCAGTCACCCAAATGACACACTACTGGCTGAATGTAGGAGCTGGAGCATTGCTGACACTTGTGCTACGCTGATTGATCATAGATGGGTTTATCCTCGATGTGAATGAGGCAGACTCGATATACCTCGATGATATCGTTTTCCAGGACATTCACACCCCCGGACAACAGGAGGAGTTGTGGTTGAATCAATATTATGGGTAAGTTCTTTTCTTATTGTACATGACAGGCGCGTCCCCACGCGATATTTACAGTTCACTATTGACACCAACGCAAGTAATTATCAAGTCACTCCCCACGGACCCTGCTATCGCACAGAGATCGCTGCATGCTTGAGTTATATGAAAGAGCAAGATTGGCGGAACCATGTTCTTGAAGGCCAGTCAGAAGGGTTGGATGAAACTCGGTCTGAAGCTACCATCAAAAGGTGGATCTTGACATACGCGGCACAGGCGGAAGCCGGGGTGTCTGCAATCCAAAAGGCTATTGAGGTCAACCCCACAGTGCAAGAACATCGCCCAAAAGCAGAGCTTCTGTTGAAGCGATGGAAGCAGATCAAGGATCTCTGCGAACATGCGGCCGAAACTGTCTCAATATAGGTTTTGATCACAGTTGAGCCTCTTGGTGTGTGGAGTGGGCAACGGCAACGAAGCTTTGAACAGCCTAGGTAGCGCAGAATCCACCTAAACGCCTGGTTCGTAAGTGGCGATATCAATGTCGTTCTCAATATCGAAGGGCACATATCCGTGTTCCCTGTCTTGGGCAAGGCCTACTTTGGCAGTGACCATGTGCTTGATCATGTAATTTAGTACACACTTGATGCCAAGTTCTTCGCCGCGGCGCACAATGTAGCCGTTGGTGTATTCGATTTCAGTCCTCCGGTTGTTCTGCATGTCCTGACGCATCGAGCTAGTATTTTCGGCCGTCATACGAGCGAGATTCACGACCAGGCGACGCAGGCGTTCTGGAGAAAAGCGGTCTTCAATACCCGGAATACCTTGCAATTCAGGAAGAGCGCAGATTACTGCGGAAATCTCGAATAACAGTAGTCGCATGACGCGGGTGAAACTGAACGAATATAGGAGTTCACCGTTGGTGCAATCACTGAGTGTGGTGAGAGGGTTGATGACGCAGTTCATTGCTAATTTCTCGAGCTGGTACTGCTGTAGGCCTGCAGGGGTCTCGGCCATAGCAACCAATGGTGGAGTGAGGGTCAAGAGACGCATAAGATACTTCGTTGACGGTGCCCACGCATCTTCGTTTACCTCCGAAGGCAAGCCGGATGTGACCGGACTGAGGATGAAAGTCCCAGCGCCCATGTGGGCGATCTTGAAAACATCCTTCCTTGTAAGACCGTGGCTAAAAACCGACTGGATGTAATTTGGTCGTTCAGCTGGGTCCGGGAAAACGTTCTGGTTGATAGTATCTAGCACTCCCATGCCATTATGAATGAAGCAGATAGTCGAATCCTTTGTCAAGCGGTGCTTGATATCTCGGAGAGCAAGCTCTGTGCGGTGTGCCTTCGTGCAAACAATCAGGCAATCAATTGGGCTGTCATCTACACGAGTGTCGGGTTCCTCGGTTCGGAATGGCGAAGATCGGTAATCATTGTTGGGCACCTGGCACCATGTTCCGAATTCGTCCACGGATTCAATATCGAAACCCGTTCTGACATCGTCTAGACCATGGGTGCTGACGGAGATACTCCCTTTCTTCTTCTCAAAGTCGCGGCGAATATGATCATTGTGCATACACAGCGTGATTGGTGGTCGGTTTCGTCTCGTCGCTAGCGAATGGGCAACAAATGACCCTACATTGCCAAGTCCAAGGATGTGCACTCGTCCCGACAAACCGGCTCGCTCGTAGAGAGATGTTTCGTATTGTTCTTGATTTGATGTTGTGATAAAGCGGGCGCCTGGCGCGCTAATAACTTTGAAATGAACGCGGAGACATTTGCTAAGAGAGTTGGCCCGCAGTAGGGAGTGAGGTCGGAGTATTGACTGCATCTTGTGAGGTTGAACGAAGAAGCTCTTCAATTGGTGCGGTGAATCCCCCGGGCAGGTATTCAGTAACCAGAGGAGATCAGATTGGCGTATTCAGTATAGAGAAATGTGCGCTCTCATAGTTTGAGCTTCGACAAGAAAAGGCAGGACACACCCATCAATGCCTAATTTTGGCTGGAATAAAGTAAATGTTGCATATGCACCAGCGCTCGGAGATCGCAGATAACCCACACCGCCCTTGTATACCGCCTTATTTGAGCCCGCCCTATCTTTTTTTCGTAGATCTCGCAGTTTCTTATCACCACCTCACTTCACAAAGATGGACCCCGCCGACTTACAGCCGCTGCTTGACCAGCTTGATGACCATGTTGATGACCTTGAAGAAGTCCTGCAGCCCGTGCTGGCCAGCGGGCTCCTCAAAAGCTCGAACAAACTACCCGTAATGGACAAAGCAAAACTTCATGTTGTTGTCACATATGCGCTGGAATCACTAATTTTCTGTATGCCGTTATCGCATCCTGACATTGAACTTTATGCTAACTTGCTTGTGCAGCTTACTTGAAACTCCATGGCGTTGATGCCAAGCAGCACTCGGTGTTCAGGGAACTCACCCGCGTGAGGCAGTACTTCGATAAAATCAAGGCCCTCGAAACCGAGCCTGAAGAGCGCCCAATGACACTGGACAAAGGAGCTGCTAGCCGATTCATCAAACACGGCCTCGTAAGCCTCATGTTGCTCGATATCTCAATGGTCGCTAATCAAACAAACGCAGTCTGGAAACGATAAGTACGATCTTGAACGCGCGGAAAAGCAAGCCAAGGAAAGAGCTCGCGCAGAGCTGAAAGCGGCAGCCCTTGCTCGCGAGGCCCAAAAAAACCCAGATAGTGCCGCCACATCAGAAGCACAAACCAACGACGACTCAGATGACGATAACTCCGAGGGTGGGGTGGAGGTCGCAGCCAAGGTGAAGCGTTCAATCACCGAGAATGAAAAGAAGCAAAAGATCAAGGGAGAGCATAAGAGCAAGGACAAGAAGGAGAGGAAGAAGGGCAACAAAGCAGCACGCGAGCAAGAAAAGAAGGAGCGTCGGCAAAAGAAGAAGGAAAAACGAAATGCCAGACAAGCCCAGTGATTCTCTTGCATCACAATAGACCGCAAAGACAGACTGCAGGGCAGTCTTGAAACACAGCCATCTTTTCAACCATGATCATCAGGAATTCTGTCAACGCATCATGTTTCACTGGATCCTGGCTTTTGCTAGCCCGAGCGACCATCAGTCTCCACATCGATGGTCGTCGACTAATTTAAGACCACAATGGGTGGCACTATGTACTATGTACGAGACTTTCGATGTCTCTATCAATCAAGATACCCTTCCCCCGCAACCGGGATCATCGCGGCCATGGAAGTACCGGCCAAGCAGGAAATCAAAAGCTCACTCTACGTCAAGAATATCTCATGCCGCAAAGATTTCCGAGGTTCACGGTTGGTGTTTAACCGATTGCGGCACATGAAGATGGACTTTGACACAGATACATAGGTCAATTTCTCATTAATCGATTCGAATGATTCGGATTTCTGACTAGGTAGAGATACTCTCTACCATGACACAAATTGCCGATCTTCCATTTTTAGATATCCAAGGAAATAATGCCTCTGTACGGAGTACTCGTAGGTCTCTCTTCTAAACTCCGTTCCTGAGTCCGTTCCTGAACTCCGCGTAATGTCCGCCTCTCACACGTGACTAGTTGTGGGTTGAGGACACCAATCAGAACTCACAGAATTTGCATCGGAGTTTGCCTCACTCGCCGAACTTATTGATCTTCTAGCTTCTTCTTTCTCCACTCGATTTCATACTTATACCTGCATATCCTCCAAATTCCGTCAAACATCAACTTCACATAATCATCATGCCTCGTCAACGCCGTGGTGCCGCCCCTACCCCTGCGCGTAGCGCTCCCACTCGTCCTACGGCCGCTCCTGCTCGGCCCGCGGCTGCTCCCACCCAGCAGCAGTCGCAGCCTCACTCGACTGCCGCCCACCCCCCTCAGCCCCAGCAGGCTCCTCCCATGCAGCAGCAGAGCGCCGGTCCTGGTCTGTTCGGCCAGATGGCCTCAACTGCAGCGTAAGTCTCTTACCCGGCGGTGTGGTTTCTTCTCCGAGAAAATCCGGGGTCGGGATCAACTTTTCCGGCAGATGTGCTAACTTTCATACTCATATAGCGGTGTTGCTGTCGGTTCCTCCATCGGCCACGCCATCGGTGGCTTCTTCGGCGGCGGCTCCAGCGCCCCCGCCGAGGCCCAGCAGGCTCCCCCTGCCCAGGCTCAGCCCATGGACAACGGCCTCTACCAGAGCAACGCTTCGCAGACCTCCTACGAGAACCCCGCCTGTGAGGTCGATGTCCGCAACTTCCGCACCTGCATGGACGAGAACCAGGGCAACCTCGGCATCTGCGGCTGGTACCTTGACCAGCTCAAGGCTTGCCAGGCTGCCGCTAAGCCTTACTAAGGGTTTACTCCGGAAAGACAGATACAGTCATTTCTAGTAATAATGATGGGAATCTTCAGGCCTTTTTTTTGATAGACAGCCCTCTTTTGCATAGCGATCTCAATATCGCCTTTTTGTACCAAATACCATCTCTCCTCATAAGGAAAACAATACTTGACTACCAAATCAACAATCGAATGCATGATCTGAAACAATGTCTCCGGGGTTTTGGCTGATTCATATTATGATCTCGTTATGGTCTATGTGGTTGACGTTTATTATCTGTGTCTGATGCAAGTGTACTCGAGTATCAAACAACTTCCAAGGTTAGAGGAACATGTCACCTCGGTCAAATCTAGCGTGGATATACCATTGCTCAAGTGTGAGGCCCAGGGCGTCTCTCCCTGAGAAATAGCTAGAAATCTCATTGTACAAAATTGTGGCTTAAATGATCTAATAATGGTTCCAGCCTAGTGAATCGATGTAAGAAGTGCGCCGATGATGAACGGAGTGCACAGATCCCCTAAGGGCCATTCATTTATCCTTGTCCTGCTTCTTCCGAGGTTCAAAGTTCAACTAAAGAGACATATTAGCCCACGTACCACGAGGAAATTGTGCGGGCAATACGAACCTGGTTACCATTGTAGAGTTGACTATTTCCACGTGCATCTTGTTGATCCCCCAGCGTTCGAATGTTAGGCCCCGAGGGTCTGGAACGCTGAGTGGTATTAGTGGTCTCAGACGGAGTAGTGGTTTCGGGCGCTGACGCAGCTGAGCCATATCCTAGGAATGAGCCCACCAGACCTGTCGCAGTGGAGGCGGCGGAGGACGCAAGGTTGTAAACAGCAGAGATACCACGGACAGGTAGGCTGCCTGCTGTGGAATAAGCCTCTGTGTATGTAGATACAGGGACCATCACCAAGTTTGCTGTAGAGCCAATCCCTAGGTCCCGAAGATGCTGTGACTCTTGGGCCACAGATAGCGTTTGACTGGGGAGAGGGTTCAAGATATGTTTGAGATTGTATGGTCGGTTGTCATCTTCCATCTGCTGGTCAAGCCAGGGCCGAACATCATTTTTGATGCTCTGCGTAGGTGCGAAGCTGGTCCGCACCGACCTTCCATCAAATAAACGCACCTGCAACCGGTATTCAGAAGGTGGTCCTCGGGGAATCCTCGGTTCGGGCTGTTTCTCCAAAATGGGGGTTGCAGCCTTTCCAGTGTTTTTGGGTGCGGTTTTTTTGGTACCCATGGGTGCTTTGCCCTTGTCGATTTTGGCTTCTTTGGGCCCATTCTGTGATGCGGAGCCTGCTGAGCCCGGAGGTTTACTATCTTTGATCGGAATCTTTGCAGGCTGCTTCTGGTTCTTGGTTGGAGCTTGGCTTGGTTTCTGGGCAGATTGCGCAACTTTATTGGCCTTTGTTTCTACCTTGGGCGAAGACTGTGTAGGTTGCAAAGGCGCAGTAGCAGCGGCTGAGGTCTGAGGTACGCCATTGTCTACCGACTCAGACGTGGGTGTCGGTAATGTTTCATTGTCCAAAGCTGTGATCAATCGACTGCGAAAGTCCTCTTTTGATATATCTGGCCCGATGTACTCCTTTAGAGCGCCATTTCTTGCGTAAAGTCAGCTCGGTGCCCACCTAGGCATACTCTTAGGGCCATGAATCATACTTGATTAGAACAACAGTAGGAAACTTCGAGATTGGGCAGAAGGAAGCCAGAAACCCGGCTTCTTGAGACCCTGCTGTCAAGCGCAGCACAACGGCTTTAGCATTGAGTGCTTGCGCAACCTGCTCAAGTTAGATACTAGGGACGTCGAATATAGGGGGTAGATATACCTCATTGTCCCCAAAATAAGCATCTTCCCATGTAGAACTCAACTCCTCGTCGTCTATAGCCGAAGCCTCAGATCAGCGATGTCATTCAATGCGGGGAGAAAGTTACCGACCTCGGACGAAGCAAGTGACGGCCTTGGCTTCGCTAACGGCAGTAGCAATGCCCGCCTGAAGGCTTCCTTGATAGAATGAGGTCATGATCGCATCCTTGTAACGACGGAGCGTTGAAAACCAGACTGGGCTAGCTGGTGCGGAGAGCACAACTATAAGATGGGGGAAGCCTAGGCGGTCACAGTAACTCCGACCCCCGAAATTCCATCTGCCGCTGACCTTTGCTCTCACCAACCTCAATTCGGGACAAACAAGACCGTCAACATGCGGCCGATCTTCTCATCGTTGCGGAAATCAGCGGCGACTTGGACCTCGCCTGTCCGGGGCACTCGGCCCCTTGGAATCTCGGGAAAGCTGGATTCCATTTGCGCCAAATGCCGCGTACAGCAGTTCCGCCAAATCTCGCAATCGCGCCAATTAGCCGACCAGTTGAATATCGTCGACCACCCCGCGAAGCTTGTCCGCGTTAAGCAGAAACATGGACCCGGTTTGATCATCTTGGGTATGTTCCATTCGTCCCCGGAGGAAATCAATTGCTAACTCATCTACCAAACATAGCTCTGATTCCCATCACCGCATTCATCCTGGGAACATGGCAGGTGCAGCGCTTGGACTGGAAGACCAAACTGATTGCCAAATACGAAGACCGACTTGTGAAACCTCCTCTTCCACTCCCTCCGCGAGTCGACCCAGAGGCGATCACAGACTTTGACTACCGTCGTGTCTATGCCACCGGCCGTCTCCGCCATGACAAGGAAATGCTCATTGGTCCTCGCATGAACGAAGGCGAGGATGGCTTCACCGTGGTCACCCCGCTCGAAAGAGAGGGCGGCAGCACTGTGCTTGTCAACCGGGGCTGGATCTCTAAGAAGCTCAAGGACCGAAAGGACAGACCACTGGGCGTGACAGATGAAGAAGTTGTGGTTGAGGGTTTACTACGAGTGCCTGCGGGGAAGAACATGTTTACACCGGATAACAAGCCCGAGGAAGGAAAGTTCTATTTCCCGGATCTCAACCAGATGGCCGAATTCAGCGGGAGCGAACCTATCTGGATTGAGCAAACTATGAGTAAGGATGCAATTTTCAGAGTTCCTGCAAATGCACGGCTAACAAAAGTGTTCCAGTTCCTGACCTTGTCGAGTCGTATGATCGCGCGGCTAAGGGCATTCCAATTGGCCGCGGTGCCGAAGTCACCCTGAGAAACAACCATTCCCAGTATATCTTCACTTGGTGAGTTGAATCGATTCCGGCCACGGAGGAAATATGCTGATTGTTTTACAGGTATGGCCTGTCGTTTGCCACATCTATCATGATGTGGATGCTTATTCGGAAGAATCCCAATGAGGCAATGCGTCGGGTCCGCCAAAACCGAAGCTGGTAGATGCCTTGGCGATTGACTTTCTCTCGAGCATATTGGCGTTTAAAGGTGTTTGTTTTTACTGTGGACAGTCAGCATGGGAATTCATGGTGGCATGGCCAGTCTCATGTCCTGCTGGAGCTCCTTGGGTAGATGTTTTTGGGCGAGGGAAAACACTGTCGTCGATTTGTTGATTTGACGTTGTCTGCGACGGTTAGAAGATTGGCTACAAGGGTTATTTTGGTAAAACTAACCGTTTCAACAATGTGATCACGTCGCTCTCGTCAATGGTCTTGCGTCCTGCGTGCTTTGAATAAGCAGCCAAGTCCTGGCTCGCCTGCTCAAAGTACCACGATGATGCTTGCTCGATCGCGCTCAGTGTAGCCTTGTTGATCTTGGCTTTGGAACCGGCTTTTGGACGAGCGAAGCGTGCGGCTAGCTTTTTGACAATGCCCGCAGGCAAGTTTGGGATAGGAATCCCGTGGCGTGAGATCTGCTTTTGCTTGCTCTGCACTGGGGCTTCCTGGTCTCGCAGGCCTCCTCCCACAATTCCAGGGCTCATGCTGAGAGATGCCGCCGGCGGGAACTCGATTCCAAATCCGAAATCACCACCAGCGTCATCATCTGATTCAACTGGCGCAGGCTGAATATCTGCGGTAGACAGCGCAAAGTCTTCCATATCGTCACCTCCGTCAATTGGATCATCAATCGGAGCTGCGACAGGAGATGGGAAGTTAAGGTCAAAGTGAAACCGGCCGAGATCTTCGGTCTCTCCCCTATTGTGATATTAGCTTTGTAACATAAACAATTCAACATTTGTATACTCACCCCCGATCAAAGTCTCCACCACTCATCATGGTGTCTTCTTCGGCACCACCCATAATGCCCGTTTCTTCAGCATCATCACTTTCCAATCGTGTCTCCTCAAAATCACCACTGATTCTGCCGGTAGCCCGACTCATCATTGACAGACGCTCTCGATCTCTGATGCTTGTCTCTCGGCGAGGGTATTCGACAGATTGATATGTCATGTCCATGTCCTCCTCCCCAAGCGCCAATGACATCCTTGGTGGGCGCATTTCAGGACTTGCCTCGTCGCCTTCTTCAGAGGACGGTTGGATAGGAAGAGATAATCGTGGGGGTTCAATGACTGGTTCATTATCAAGTTGTTCGAACTCATCGACAGGCTCCTCTTCGGGCTCTGGCTGCTCCTGAGGCGAAGACTGAATAGGCTGAGATACAGGCGCAAGCGCTAGGCAACAATCAGCTCCGCTACAGTTGCGTCAGACATTCGGCCTACCTCTGCCAAGATTTCTCAAGATATCAAAGGTCGTCTCCCGTTGCGCACGGCCACTACGTCTGCGATCTCGGCCAGGGGTATTCGCAGCACGCTGTTGACGGGCGCGCAGCCCATGCGGAGTTGATGGTGCCCCCGCACCCCTGGCACGAGGTGTGTATCGAGAAGCCGACCGCTGGGTGCCCGGGGTGGTTGCGGTGACAAGCCGACTGGGCGTAAGTGGGTAGCGTGTATGGCTGGGAAGGCGTTGAAGCTGAGCACAAGTTAGTCATTTTCCAACTGGCGAGGAACATTGAGCCTCACCCCGGTCAATTTGGTCTCTCCGGCTGGGGTAAAAGGCGACCGACGACCACGCGTGTTTGGGGTCGAATTAGACATGATCTGGTTCCGCAGGAGCGATAGTCCTATGTCAGCAGAAATATATTAGACCACATATGCAGGCACTGTAGCTATATTACACCGAATCGAGCTAATACGACGGTGGGCACAATATTCAAGTTGATGTTTGTCCGTCGCGTCTAGAAACAACAACTGCGGGTCACCGTTATCGCGGGCGATAAGGAATGATGATTCAGCAACTTTTTTTTTGCATTGAGGTCTAGTTCCGATGCGACTTCAAATTCCCATTTGTTGACTGAGAGCCTTTGGGTTATTTTGCCGAATTCGCTTTGACCATAATGACTGACACCGGTGCCCCCAAAGGCCTTTCGGCCAAGATCCAAAACAAGCGCAAGAGACAAGCCGATGACGCTGCGCCCCAGCAGGAGAAGCCCGATGCCACAGGCACACCTGCAGAGGGAACTACCAAAAAGAAGCAGAAGAAGAACAAGAACAAGAAGAAGCAGGCCGATCAAGATGGAGAGAACTCCTCGCGCAAAGACGGCATCGACGAGTCAATTGGCAAAATGGACGGCCGGTTACTGGGCGATCACTTTGCGCAAAAGGCCAAGCGACATGAAAAGGAGCTCTCTGCTGTGGAATTGAGTGATCTCTCTGTTCCTGGTATTTATATCCTGGATACCGCATTGTTTTAAGACACATACTAATCAATCTATAGACTCCGCATTCCTTGATACTTCCTCCTTCACCTCCACTCGAAAGCTCGAGCAGCTGCCAGAATTCTTGAAGTCATTCAGCCCTAAGGGTGCAGATCTGTCCAAGGCGTCTCAGAAGAACGGAACTCCCCATACACTTGTCATCTCAGGTGCTGCCCTGCGAGCTGCCGATGTTGTGCGGTAAGTCAATCCTTGTCCAATCTTGGATTAAGACATCAGCTAATATGACGGCAGAGCGCTCCGCTCTTTCCAAACCAAGGAAAGCATTGTAGGAAAACTTTTCGCAAAGCACATCAAGCTGGAGGAAGCCAAGCAGTTCCTTACACGTGCTCGGTCTGGTATTGGAGCCGGAACTCCGACCAGAGTGTCTGATTTGATTGAGTCTGGTGGGTCCAACATATGAATCTACATTTGACTTGAAGTATGTGCTGACTGTCCGTTACTAGGAACTCTCAAGCTGGACGAATTGGAGCGCATTGTCATTGATGGATCGCATATTGACCAGAAGCAGCGAGGAATCTTTGACATGAAGGAGACACACATGCCCCTCCTGAAGCTTCTCACACGGCCGGAGCTGCGTGATCGTTATGGAGCATCAAAGAAGGGCGTTAAGATCTTGGTGTTTTAATTTACGTGTCGAGTAAGGATGCCACTATATGGTATCATTCCGAAACTGGAGTCATGATGGATTTCCTTATGAATATATTGGAGCAAAAGTCAAGTTTTACAGTGTCTATAGCAGAATCTATGTACAAAGTACTCCGTGCTCCATACTCCGTATGGAGCAGTGATGATCCATCCTTATCGGACTGAACCCCACTCACCGCCTCCGACCACGCGGCAAAAATTTAATTTCAGTTTTCTCTCCGCCCGATTTTTTTGGAGCTTCGATCTTAATACTTTACACCTCTTCTCGACTGCTTTTCTTTTCTTCTCTTCTCAACCTTCTCCAGACCGAACACTCAGGTCTTCTTTTTATCAAAACATTGTCCTTTTTCTAGCCACACTCATCCCACGTACACACCACAATGGGCGACAAGCGCAAGCTCGTTCAGGATGAGGTCGTCGAGCCCGAGGGCAAGAAAATGAAAAAGGATAAGAGAGAAAAGAAGGAAAAGAAGGAGAAAAAGGACAAGAAGGAAAAGAAGGAAAAGCGTTCGCGCGACGAGTCCGAGGATGTCGCACCCGTTGAGACTGCCCCCGAAGAGGTGAAGGAGGTCAAGGAGGTCAAGGAGAAGAAGGAGAAGAAGGAGAAGAAGGCTGAGAAGACCGAGAAGGACAAGAAGGAGAAGAAGGAGCGCAAGGAGAAGAAGCGCAAGTCCACCGAGGCCGCCGCCGAATCTGCTCCTGCCTCAGAGGACGCCATGGATGTCGACGAGGCCCCGGCCGAGAAGGCTGATGGCGACAAGAAGGAGAAGAAGGAGAAGAAGGAGAAGAAGGAGAAGAAGGACAAGAAGGAAAAGAAGGAGAAGAAGGACAAGAAAGAGAAGAAGGAGAAGACCTCTGAGTCCGCCGCCGAGTCGCAAGAGCCCGCCGCTCAAAAGGCTGAGGCCGAGGCCGAGGCTGAGCAGACCCAGAAGGGTGCTCGTTTCATCTGCTTCGTCGGTATGCCACTCTGCAGAGGCAATTGGTCAACCCGAGAATCGTACTGATGTTAGTTACAGGCAACCTTCCCTACTCTGCCAACCAAGAGTCTCTCGCCAAGCACTTCGAGAAGAACCCTCCTGCCACAATCCGTGTCGCAACCAATAAGGATGACCCCAAGAACAAGTGCCGCGGCTTCGCATTCATTGAGTTCGACAACTACGACCGCATGAAGACTTGCCTCAAGCTGTACCACCACTCCATGTTCGATGACAAGAAGTACCCTCCTCGACGCATGAACATCGAGCTTACGTGAGTCCCGGGAATCCAACTGCAACAAGCAAATCAAATTGTTCATATACTAATTTATTCCCAGTGCTGGCGGCGGCGGCGGCAAGTCCGAGCACCGCAACGCGAAGATCCAGGCCAAGAATGAGAAGCTCAACGAGGAGCGCCAGCGTCAGGCCAAGGAGATCCAGAAGGAGAAGAAGAAGCACGACAAGTCCACCGACCAGGCCGGTGCTACTGGCGCCAACGCCATGGGTGCGGATGGTGCTGCTGACCCTAACGACCAGTGGGCTGGCCTGCACCCTAGCCGCCGTGGCCGTGTTTAAACCAGCGCCGCTGGATCACTTCTTGTAGACGATTTTCTTTGTCGGTGCATATCCGTGTACAGAAAAGTGCAACGGACTCGAGCCACGCATATTGATATTCGACCGACCATCTTTTATTTGTTTCCAAAAGTACCTACTTTGACTATGTCGCTTGGCTAGGAGATACCAATCATATTGCTCTATTCATGAATCACACAGGGAGACATCCACGGATGGAACTCGAAGACATCTAGGGTAACATTATGACTACAAGCATCCATAGAATGCAAACAAAACCATTGTCGCAAAGGGCATCAAAGCAAAAATCAACAGTCCAGAGGGCACGACAGAGTACAATCCCAAGAAAAACGGTCAATGGATTTCATCACAAAACAGAGGCCGGCGAAATAAAAAGCCTCTAACTACCCAGACGCCGTATTAACTATATATTATTCGTTATAGCATACGAGAATATGGGAGAGTCCAGCCAAACAGATGCATTTACAAAATCATGCATTTGTTAACTCCCTTCCTCCCGGATTTCGTAGCGGGACGAGGATTGAGAACGGCCCTGAAAGGTTAGCACGAGATCGATCTCGGAAAAACCGCTCAGACTTACCGAATGGCCTCGTCAAACACGCTCTTCAAGTTGCGTTGTGTCAGAGCCGAACATTCCAAGTACTTATGTGCGCGAATCTCCTTGGCTACAGCCAGAGCTTGTTCGTAGGAGACAGTCTCCATCTTGCGCGCGCGAAGGGCTTCCGTGGTGGCGCGATCATCTCTCAAATCGAGCTTGGTTCCAACAAGGATGATGGGGACATTGGGGGCGTGGTGCTCGATTTCAGGGAACCACTAGGAGGCTGTCAGTCGAGTGGGGAGGTCGAGTGGTCTGATCTGATCTTACCTTGGCTTTGACGTTATCGAAGGATGGTGGGCTGACGATGGAGAAGCAAATCAGGAATACATCGGTTTGGGGGTAAGAGAGCGGTCTGAGGCGGTCGTAATCTTCTTGTCCGGCGGTATCCCACAGTCCCAGGCTGATCGGCCGGCCGTCTACCATGACACTAGCCGTGTAATTGTCGAAGCTGCATGGGTATCAGTGTCCGGATCGCGATAGAGTTTCCAGTGAGGGGCAGAGGTGGGCACGAACACGGTAGGGATGTACTCCCCAGGGAAGGCATTTGTTGTATAGGAGATCAGAAGACATGTCTAAAAGGGGACAGGCCATGGTCAGAGTCAAGTTCACAAAAATCCCAGATCCCATATAGTGTCGAGAATCGAGGGGGGGGGGGGATGGGGGCGGAAATACTGACTTTGCCAACTGCACCGTCACCGGTCACCACACACTGCCAGGATTAGCCACGCATTCTTGATGAAGGTTTCGCATTGCGCACCTTGAGGGACTGAGTCGCTGGACCTGAAGCCATGTTTTCGCGCGAAATGTGATCGAATTGGGGAGCCCTGAAGCTGACTTTCCCACAGGGGCTGGGAGTAGTATGACGATAAGGGGAACAACGATAACGCGGATGCAAAAGGGTATCTGGAAATTATCTGTTTAGCTTCGGCTTCAGGGGTGTGAGAAGAAGCTAGGGGAAGTTGGAGCTAGGGAAAAGAGGGGGTGTGTGTGGAGCACACAAGTTTCTTCAGTTCTCGAAAAACACTCACCTCAAAGGGGAAATGGATGTAAAGAGAGAGGTTTTAGGAAGTGGGAAAGAGAAGGGGAGAAAAAAGGAAAGGCGATCGGATCACTAGTTCCTAGCCAAGCAGAGTAATATAACAGTGACATTGAATATTTCTAAACCCCGTCTCCACCTTATATCTACATATAAACGTCCTTGGATCTAAGTAGGGGATGGTCTCTCTGATAGGGTTGAATTTCTCCTAACCACAGACCTCCAGGTCAGCGTTCATGCACCAATCGCATGACGATTCGATCACGAGTGGGCATGCGGCGTCTACTCAACTACCGAATCGCTCGCTATGCATGCATCCTATTTATATCCCTTGGTCGGTTCTAAGCGTTCCAAGTGATGGACTTAAAGTCGCGACACGCCTCTGGAGCCGCCCAGGAACCCCCCAGCTTTCAGCTCGGACGGCTTCGCCAGCAAGCTAGGTAATTTGCCTGCGAATGATCGGAAATAAGACGCCTTCATATGGGTCTGCACCGCTGATTGGTTTTTGTACCTGGAACCGATCAGTATTCCATTGCGACAATGTGTGTGGCAAGGATGTCAGTGCAGTAGAATGTGCCGAGGCACGGTCTGTTCGCGCGGGACACCTGTCGATTTGATTGACTGACCTCTCAACGATCACAATCTCATTCTTGTCCTTGATTTGAAAGGCATAGTAGAGCAGGGTGTCGGGCTCATGTTCCTGAACCTTTTGGATGACTTCGGATACGAGGTGAGCCACCTAGATATGATAGATTAGATGGAGCTCGAGGACTACCCGCAGGATAGACTCACTTCCTCGAACTTCTCCGGCTTGGGGGTAAGAACTGCGGTGACGTTGATTTCAGACATGATCAGTTGAGAGACAATGCAGAGAGAACGGCAGGTCATATATGGACTTACAGCTAAATAGCCAAGGTAATGCGGATCATATAATCCTAATCCACATCGACCTCGGGCCATGGCAAGTGGGGCGAGTACATACGGGTCTATAGAATGTCTGGAGCATGCAGGTCTGCAACCTTATAGTATAATCTCTCAAACTCAGATGGGGCACAGAATTCCCCATACAGAGGGATCCATACTCCGCATTGAAGTATACTATACATCTACCTAGGTAGTTTATTGTGGGGACATAGTACATAGTGTGTACTTGGGCGAAGTAGAGTAAATATTAGGGCATTGAGCAGGATTGCATAGCTACACAAAGTATGAATAGCTCAATGATCTTGGGATGTATTTCAATACTGCGATTATTCCCATGCTATGCACCTGGGCATGTAGAGCCTGTCGAGCCTATAGAGATAATCAACACCCAATCCTCCGAGCCCGTTAAAATTGTCTGCCTCAGGCATCACACAACCGCCGAGTCTCGGGAGTCGCTCGCGCAGGCACCTCGCGGCAAATCAGCGCAGAAACCTCACTCCCCCACATCTCCCTTTCCGCCGATTTCTCCGATTTACGGACTCCACGCGCACTTGCTCACGTTTCATGGGGTTTTATACCGGCTGAACGCAGGTTGATCTTGATGGATTTGGGGTACCGGAATATTCTGGCACCGGATGGGCCGCATTATTCACTCCCGCCGACCGACTTTCGGTCCCCCACACTACCCCGGCCGCCGGCTGTTGATTTCATGCAGAGAAGCTCGGAATCTTGCGAGATGGAGAAGACCCCGCCTGTCACAGGCAAGCGCCGAGGGGGTAGCCGGAAGGCTTGCAATGAATGTAAGCAGCAAAAGGTAAGCCATCTACTTATTTCTCCTCATTCTTTCCTGCCCCTACCCTATGTCTCGTAACGGCGCTGATGTCTGAACCCCATATAGCTGAGATGTGATATTGTGCAAACCCCAGCTGCGGCTTGCTCGCGCTGTCGCCGGCTTGGTATCGATTGTAAAGTCGAGCAATCCTTCAAGCGAATCTCCAAAAGAAGGTAAATCCTCATGTCTTTTCCCCACTCACTGGTTAGTCCGCTTGTTTGTTGACTCATTCCATAGGCGCAATGCAGAGATGGAAAAGGAGATTGCGGATCTCCGCCGTCGATTAGGGCCTAACTCTGACCATGAGCAGACAGGAGAGCTTCATGAGCCCCAGGGAGGTGATGCCATGTCACATTGCTCAGAGGATGTGTTCTCGCGCCGTGAATCTACTGTCGTGGATCAATCGCGGCACGTTTCAGTGCCTGTTGAAACACATCCGGCGATAGCGACTCCCTTGACCATGAAAAGGGATGGCTCTATCATTTCACAGGATGAGGGCTCATGGAGACTAGAGGATCTATCACTCTCTAGAACCCGAGTCATCCGACTATACGAACAGTATGGCTCGTCTCAGTTTTGGTCATCTTCCCACTACTAACAAAAGACACGCTAGATACTTCACTTATTATCACCCATTTCTTCCTCTTTTGAACCCTCCTAAGCCTCCAGAGGTGTATCTGAATCGATGCCCTCTTTTGGCGTGGACCATTATTTGCGTCGCAAGCCGACGCTCTCAGCATGAGCCTGGTCTTCTCAGTGCTTTATCTGGGCCATTCAGCAGGCTACTTTGGTCTACTATCACGAGTGTCCCCCAGGATTACCGGGTGGTAAAGGCTCTTTGTGTTCTATGTACCTGGCCCCTGCCAACAACGAGCCAGCGCACCGATGCAACCTTTATGCTCAGTGGCTTGATGATGCAGATCGCCATGCAACTTGGACTGCATCGCCCTGTCCAAGCAGAAGAGTTCACTACTTTCCGTATGGAAGTGCAAGGTGAGGCTCTAAAAGACCGGCTACACACGTGGGTCATCTGCAACGTCGTGGCGCAAAAGTAAGCATTTCCTTGCGTCCTCTTCTTCTTACTTTTATTTGGTTAAAGCAGAGCCTGACTAATATCATTGATAGTGTTGCGACTGGCTATGGTCAGCCTCCAAGCACAATATACGATTGGGCTCTTGAGCCTGCATCGTTGAGAGATGCCGATTACCGACTTCCGGACGACTTGGCCATTCGATTGCGAATTGAAAAGTTCTGCGACAGAGTGACCAAGGCGTTATATAGTAGTAAACCAGAGCCCGCAGAGCTTATCAGTGCCGATAAACTCGTAGTCGTGCAGATCTTGGAACTTGAGTTACAAGAAATGGAAGCCGACTTTGGCAGCGGGATCTCTGGTCAGCTACTGGAATCTCCTTCTGAATTTCACTCAACTAACACCTCATCAGCGATCAACATGATTCATCTCCGTGCTGCTGAACTGCATTTCAGATACTTCATGTTTTTGGGTTCAAATGCGCGAACCGACGATCTCATGAAGCTCTACACTGCAACGACATCCTTCCTCGGCCGGGTGCTAGATCTCGAAACATCACCAGGGGAACTCATTGGTCATTCTACCAACTACATTCTTCAGATGATCGTTTCGGCCGCTTTCGCTCTGATGAAGCTGCTGAGGAGTAGTTTCAGTCGATTCATCAATTTCGACCATGGCAAGCTACTTTTTAATGGTGCAATTTCAGCCATTCGCCGAATCAGTGTCATGGACCACGACCGCCCCATCCGTCTAGCAGATATTCTCGCTCAGATGTGGAATGCGACAAATACAGAGCCCGCTGAGGAAGATGCTTTACAGCTCAAGGTTCGCTGTCGAATGAGCATGAGCCACGTATACGACACAGTGTGGCGTTGGCGACAGCGGTTCCGACCCGTGAAAAGTTTGGAGGAAATGCAAGGTGAGTTCAAGTACTCTTGATTGGATTTCCGTTATACTAAATCTCCATCTCAGCTGCCGCCATCGCTGCTAACCAAGACATACTTGGACCGTCAGGACACATGACCCGACCACAAGACAGCTCCCTGGAGGACACGTCTTTGCTGATGCCGGCTCAGTTTGACGAAGGCGGTGCTTTCTTTAGCGAAGCCGGCTTTTCGGAAGTCTTTGATTCCCTCAATTGGGTCTTTGACGGCATCCCCGACTCTTTCGTTGCACCGCCAATTTTATAGATTGAGCAGAACACTTGATCAGGCTGTTTGTACAGATTAGTTGATTTCCAGCGACGATACCATGCGAATAAAAGTGAATTTTGTGTGCACAGGCTGGATCCAAAACGAATCTCACAACGTGTTTATGCCCAGCATACACAGAGTTGGAGTTTTCTACGCATGACTATGCTGCTGAACCCCCCAGAGTCTTCAACAATATCCCTGGGTTTAACTACCGCACTATGGGTTCCAGCAATTGGGAGGAGGCTTCCCAGGAGAATCACAACAATACTTCAACAAATCACAAGGGTGATGTTAGCTTTTGATCATCTTCCCAATCCCCTCCCGGTGGACTTGAGATGAAACCAACGTGCATGTCCAGGTGAGAGTGCCCCGACGAGAGACACCACCTAGCCAGACTGTCGAATGCAGGAATCTTTGATAGTACTTGCGATGATAGGTACAATTATTGTGACATTACTAGGTAAAATGCCAAGTAATCCAATGACGCAGCATCGGGGAGTATATGTATTTGCTGTTGACCCTTGGAATGCCCACTTCTAAAGTTCTCCCCAGAGCTGCCCATGGTAATCGAGCGAAGGCATACTTGCTCGACACCTCCTGAAGTCGTCCACTCATCTTCCCTTCTGAAGTCTGATGGAGATAGCAAAATGCAACTCAATCATAGGGGCCCAGTCGGAAAATCAACCGGTATCAGTATATGAACCCTACTGTCCGGGTTCAATGGCTTTTCCCCGCATAGTGTATCAATCCCCTATTTGGGCGACTTGGCGAGCCCCGACCCCCTGTCGAATGCGCGACTTTTCCTGACATAGCATTCCCCAAGTCAAAAGTCCCTGATCGGCTCTTCTATCCGATGCCATTGCGGACGCTGGACCGGTAGTTGCTTGATAAGCATGGGTTATAAAATGTCGATGAAGAGGGGGTGAGTAGGGGCAAACCCTCGAGCAAGTTTGATACCTCCAAGTAACACTTTAAACTGACTTCCAAGGAAGGTTCAGTACTCTACAATAGGTATTTGGGACAAGCAATTGAGCAAAGTACCAAAAAATCTTGAAACCTCGAATCTTACCACTGCGTAAGTGCGCAGTTCTCAAAATCAACTTTCAAATCCACTAAGATCCGGCAAATAGGCTCATTATGCAGATCATCGACATCACTGTTTTCAGTTACGATGCAAAATATGCAAAGGGAAGATACACCATGTCCGGTGGACGGGTTTCTCTTGGTGAACCCTCCATCGTAGTCCGAGTTCGCACCGACGATGGCATCGAGGGCTGGGCGGAGACGGCACCCCTGGGTAGTACCTACTTGCCAAGTTCTTTTGCAGGCGAGGTTGCTGCCCTTAAGGAACTTGGCCCAGCAATTTTGGGCTTAGACCCTCGGTCGCCGGGATCGATTAACGCAGCCATGGATCGAGTCATGATAGCAGGAACAGCGGCTAAAGCAACCTTGGACATGGCTTGCTGGGACATAATGGGTAAATCGATGCAGTTGTCAACTGCCGTTCTGTTGGGTGGGAAACTTGGAGCTAAATTGCCAGCTTTCTCGGTTATTGGCGTTGGTGAACCTGAAATTGCTGTCCAGAAAGCTCGTGATGAAGTATTAAATGGAGTGAAAGCTTTACAACTCAAGGTAGGTGATGATCCATTGAGCGATGCACGAAGAGTCAGGGCTGTTCGGGAAGCACTCCCCGATAGCATCGAAGTCTGGGCCGATGCAAATGGCGGGTGGAATCTCGATCAGGCTTTGAGGTTTGCCAGGGCGTTAGAGCAGGATCTTGCCGTACCGATTGAACAGCCATGCCGACTCATATCCGAGTGCGTGGAGGTTGGTCGCCGCACAGGACTGCCAATTACCCTTGACGAGAGTATTTTCACGATGGCGGATCTGGTTGCGGCCCACGCTGGAGGAATCACCGGCGTCAATATCAAGATCTCCCGTGTTGGCGGATTCACAAAGGCCCGAACTTTGCGCGATGCTGCTGTTGCACTTGACATGATGGTTGTCATTGACGATACATGGGGTTGTGCGCTGACCACTGCGCAAAACATCCAGCTGGCTGCTTCTACGCCGCCAAACCGCTTGCGCGCTGTTGACCTTTTCGCCGAATGGACTCATCCAATGATCGCCGAAATTCCTAGGATGCAGAGTGATGGTAATATCAGTTGCAATGATCTCGCTGGAAATGGAATTGGTGAAATCAATATGGGCCTTCTGGGAGATCCATTGTTCCGAATGCAAGTATGATGGTTTGGACCTTAGGTGTTCACTCGTGCTGCAGTCACTTCACTTCTAGTCTATTTCAGACATCACAACAATGCACATCATGTTTCTACATTACTTCCAAGGCAACATATTTTGGCATATGCTTTGACAGACAAGATTCATTATCACGATAGGACTTGTACTCCTCTCCTCTCGAGTATGACTTGAGTCACTTGACTAGTCTCTTTTTGCCTTTGCCAACTGAAGAATGGCATTGCTTACTGTTAAATCCGTGAGACTCACACCAACACTCTTATAGATGACCAAGCCTTCGGAAACAAAGTGGTTCGTCTTTTGGATGTTCGTCCCCGTCGATCCATCAGCATCGTCCGCAGCTGTCAAAGATAAGATTTCACCAAGCTCCACAACATCCTTCGCGGCGATTTTACCCTGAAGCAGCTCTCCGGAATGAGCAAGGCCAAACTCACGGTCGTCAACGAGAATAACGCCGTCTTCCTTCTTAGTGATCGGGTTATAACCGGCCTTGGGCGCGACAGCAAGATGCAATAACTCCGGGTCCACCTCGATCATGTCGGACTGCCAAGAGCCAACAGCGGAGAGAAAGGGACGCCGAGCATCTCTCCCTGCTAGATATTTGGCCGGGAATAGAGGCTTCTTTGATGGTGTGGTGCAAAATATGCAATCTACAGTTTGCAAACAGGACTCGAGATTCTGCTGAAAGTCGGAAGTGGTAGAGTCGAGGACTCGGAAGGAACAGCCTGCCTTCCAGCGTGCTTCGTTCTCCGCCGAGACTTTGGCAATCAAATCATTCACTCGCTGTTTGCTCGAGCTGACATAGGTGATTGTTTTGACCTCCGATCCCCGAAGCGTGAGGATCAGTCTGGTGTGCCATAAAGCCTGCATACCACTCCCGAAGATTACAATTTCGTCAACGTGTTTCCTCCAGGAGAATGGAACCATCGCGTTCATCGAGGTGCGGTAGCCAGTCACTTCCTCCGAGCTGAGCATGCCCGTCGGAGTACCGGCACTGTCGCAGAGCACTATGACACCGCTAATGTCACATTTATTGCCATCAGGCCCAGGTGTGGACTGAGCGATGATTTTAGTTCCAAAACTATCGTTCGAGGTGAAAGGTCTGAAAAGAGCGGTTTGGCCGTTCGGACGATTGACGAAACTTGGCGCAGGTTGATATTGACGTTCGCCCCCGACGGAGAAATCTTTGAATGTTTGCTCAACTACCCGCCGGAGCTCGATTGCTTCATCTCTCGAGAGGTTGATCAGCAGATCAAAGACAGTGGAATTATCCAGGAATTGAATGTTTGATGCCTCGGCCATAGTGTGGTCACGATTTAACCGTGAGCTGATGTACGTTATACGGAATTGAGGAAGGGTAGCTCTCAACGATCTCTTGTCCGAATATGCAGGAAAGAAAACCCATTTGGCAGCGAAGATTGGGGACCTCATGCGAGTCGCTTGAATCGGATCTGTGCACCCATATCGGCAACCCCTCCCGAAGTAGACGCTATGAACAGACGGGAGAGTCGCCCGAGTGTCCACCCCCGCCATCAGACCCAGTGCTGAGGAAGCTTGGAAACTGGCGATCATTCGGTTCTATTTCAGGCCCGCTGAGCGATCGACTGAGTCGGCAATTTCTCAAATACTAACCGTACTTCCTCATCAGTCGAGCCCAGAAATAGTCCCTAGCTGTCTGGAAGTTTGCGGAGTACCCCGAAATCCTCCCAATCAACTCGTCTTTTCGTCATGGGACTCTGGAGTCAACCTAGCTCCAGGGCTTAGAAGAGAGATGTACGAGTAGCGTTGAGCCTTGGAAAATTGGCTCGTGCTTCTGCCCGCTGAGTTTGTCGCTATTAGCTCTGAAGACTGCTTCAACAACCTTTACTTCCAGGTCACAAACCTTGAAAATATTCGTCAATTTGGCACCATAGTTGAAAAGAAAGATGCAACCCTGCAGACATGGCGACGGAATCTTGGTGGGTTCTGGAATGTGGAAAGCCCTGGAGTACTTGGATACCCAGTCTCAAATCAGAAAGCATGACAAGGCTCTGCCTTCCAAGGGTTATGGGCTTGGTTCAGCCAAATCGCAGAGGAGATGCAATTAATAGGTCATTATTCATTGCAAGCTTCTTATCATCTGTACAGGTAGCAGCGTCCTAAGCCCGGGGTCTTATGGCCATATACCTACAGCGTAATTGATTCGTTCTAAACTTAGAAGTTGATGAACATATATAAATGATAAACCTAGCTTGGTGATAAGTTGAATCAATTGGAATTATATCCAGGGGACATTTATCGCCACCTAGGTTATATTCTGATTCCAGGAAGCTCATACTTGAGGTCCAAATTCTAAGGTCGTTGCAGGGCTTGGGAATCACCTGAGGGAAGTCAATTGTTGATCAATTGATCAGTCAGGGGGGCAACGGGCTGATGCAGGTAGTCTGTAACATCCAGTGACAAACAGCGTATGAAACATGTACCTTGAAAACTCTTCTGTACTCTCATAACTATAGAATCAGAGAATCATATACTTTAGGGCTCATACTACGAAGTAAACAGACCCACTGTGGCTGAGGCGGGTATTACGTCGTTTGTTGCAGCCCGAAGAACGTCAAAAGGCAGCAGTGTTCAGACCCGCCCCTAAACCCCACCGATATTAATAGATTCGACTTGCTTTCTCCCTCTCTCTTTCGCTCCTTGTCAATCTTTCACTCTTCCGACATCTTGCAATCACAACATGTCGGACACCCTGGATCCCGCGCACGATGCGCCTTCATCCAGTGGCCGCTTGTCCCCCGGGGGTGAGCGCACCCAGGCACCCGAGCCCATTTCAGATGAGTTGCAGGCTCGTCTGGATAAGGTCATTTACTCCGATGTGAGCATCCACCGACAATGCGAATTCAAGACCGAGATTATGAGGACACGAGACTAATCACCTTGTCGCATGCAGATCGGCATCACCACCCTGTTGACCCGGCTCAAACAAAGTGTGGCCTCCGCCAGGGTACGTAATCGCGAATTGACAGCGACATTGATCGCAAGCGCTAACATGATACTGGCGATATTAGGATTTCTCGACTTTCCTGAAAAAGCGAGGTTCGCTGGAAGAAGAGCATGCTCAGGGGCTAAGAAAGCTGTCTCGTGTGATCAGCGATGCGTCGCAACGGACCGAAAACCGACAAGGAACGTACAGCTCGAGCTACAAGGACATTCACCGCATCCAGGAGCGCATGGTCGACCATGGCCTCCAATTCGCCGTTTCGCTGCAACAGATGGCCGATGATTTGCATGAGCTGGCTGGTAACATCGAGCGCGGCCGCAAGCAATGGAAACAGACAGGCATAGCCGCAGAGAAGAAGGCCACCGATGCCGAACAGTCGGCGGAGAAGGCGAAGGTGAAGTACGAGTCGCTCGCGGAGCAGTATGACCGTGTTCGCACCGGTGACAAACAGGGTGGCAAGTTCGGTCTTAAGGGCCACAAGTCTGCCGCGCAGCACGAGGAGGAGCTTCTCCGCAAGGTGCAGAACGCGGACAGTGATTATGCGTCCAAGGTCCAGACTGCCCAGGCTGCGCGCCAGGAACTCATCTCTACCAACAGACCACAGGCCGTGCTGAATCTGCAACAATTGATTGCTGAGTGCGACTCCGGACTGACTCTGCAACAACAGAAGTTCGGTATGTGTTGTTTACTCTTTTTTCCTCTTACACGTGCACTAACTGTGTACAGCAACCTTCAGCGAGAAACTTCTTTTGGGCCAAGGTCTTTGCGTTAGCCCCATGAAGACAGAAGATGGCTCTATTGGACCCAAGAGTCTTGCCCAGGTCGTGCGACAAGTCGACAACCAAAAGGATCTCCACGAGTTCATTCTCAGCCACGAAGGAAACCCCGGAGCTGTGGCTTCAGAGCAGATCCAATATGTGCGCCACCCGGTATGTCGTCGCATCCGCAAATTGTCCCACTCCCTCCGCTTACACATGGTTCAGACCCTTGGTGGTGCCGGTGCTACTGGCGCCCCCGTCGTCGCGACACCCTCGCAGCCGGAGTCCCAAAATAAGCGCATTTCTATTTTGCCGCAAGCCTTCTCCTCGCAGCATAACCTTCCCCCGTCTGGACCTCAGCAACCGCAGCCCGGTGATCGCTTGCCGCAATCGCCTTATCCACCCGAGAAGACATTTACTCCTCCCCCAGCTGGCACGGCTCCTCCGTATCCAGTCTCAAACCCGCCTGCCCCGGAAGCTCCACCAAAAATCCAGGTGCCTATGGCAGGACCTAACGCTAGTGACAAGAATTTCCAAGCTAACTTACCTCCTCTCAAGCCAGTCTTTGGTATCTCACTTAACGATTTGTACGCTCGGGATGGGACCGCAGTCCCATTCATTGTGTACCAGTGCTTCCAAGCCGTGGAGCTTTTCGGCCTGAGCATGGAGGGCATCTACAGACTTTCGGGCAGCGCCAACCATATCAGTCACATGAAGGCTGTCTTTGATAACGGTTAGTAGGACCCGTGGACACGACCATAGCAGTGAACATGTGCTAAACTTCATTCTACTAGACTCATCGCAAGTCGATTTCACAAACCCAGAGAATTTCTACCACGATGTCAACAGTGTTGCAGGGCTTGTGAAGCAATTCTTCCGGGATCTTCCTGACCCCTTGTTCACTTCACAGTTCTACCACCAGTTTATCGATGCTGCTCGTAAGTCACGCCATTCTGCGTGGTTGCAAATGTCAAGGTACTGACAATTTCCTAGGATTTGACGATGATATCCAACGCCGAGACTCTCTGCACGCCCTCATCAATAGCTTGCCTGATGCCCACTATGCTACGCTCCGTGCCATCATCTTGGTATGATATCAAAATGTCAATAAAACCTCAACATACTAACCTTGTCTTTTGCAGCACTTGAACAAGATCCAAGAACACTACACCCAGAACCGCATGAACGCAGGCAATTTGGCGATCTGCTTTGGGTATGTGCCGACCCCCACACTATGAAATGAACACCGCTAACAAACCCCAGACCAACTCTTATGGGCGCCAATTCCGGTGGCAATATCGCCGACGCCGGGTGGCAGGTTCGAGTCATTGAGACGATTTTGAATAACACATTCCAGATCTTCGATGACGATTAGATCAATGATACCCCGTCCCGCTGCCGTGCTCCCAGTGGATTCTCCTCTGGCTATGGTACATGGGCGTCGATCTACGGCAAGTAATGGCTTTATGCATCTTGGCGCTTCTAATATCCTTATTCCTAAGCGCGTCCTTTTTTCTTTGCGGCATGCGCATGTACTTCCTACTCATGTGTCCAGTGTTTTGATGATACCTGCACGAGACATGGATACTGTGTCAGTGTGTTTCTCTCTTCTTGTACATATAACAATTGGTATTCTTTTTGCTTGAATTTCGACCGTGAGAACAAACGTATCATCGGTATATTGATCCTCTGTAGCTGGTAATATCAATGGCTGTAGGCCGAGGCGATGTTGCAGATATGTTGTTTCATTTGTACAACTGACGGCTGGATAGAAAAGTAACATTTGGTCAATATAATGGGCTATGATACATGGGAGGTGTAAATACATCCCAATGGAGCAATGGTGCGCCAAAAGGAAGATTAAACAGAGGCGGAAGCAGGAGGGTCTGAAGGCTTAGAGAACAGTCAATGAAGAGCACAAACAGATGATGGGAGGCAGAGAGTGTTGTGCCAGGGCCAGGAAGGAGGGAATGCGGAGAGGCACAGAGTAGAGACGTCAATGTCTGATGTGGGTCCTCGAACGGAGGCTTGGAGTGTGCGGGCTCGAAGGACAGAGTTTATATAGATCCCAGAAAGATAAGTCACAGTGCGACGTTACTTATTTCTTGTTCATCGAATCCTTGATCATCTCCATACGCTCCATGGCTGAGAGGCCAGGCATGAAGTAAGGGTCGGTCTGGGTGGCGTGCAGGGTGGTAGGGTTAGTGGTACCCCAGACTCTCCAGCCGTGATCCTTATCGTTCCAGCGGAGGTTCTGAACAACGATGTACTCGGTAATGTCCTGTTCCTTGGAGGAGATAGGAATGACCTCAGTGTTGGACCCATTAGTCTGTGTTTGGGTCGTTGTGGTGGATTGGCGGCTTGTGATGCGCACGACGATTTGGCGGATGCCGGATTTCGGGATCTCGGGAATGGATGTTGCGCGGTCCGAGACGACACGAAGACCGGTGAAAGTAGTGCTGGGCCTTCGGAGGTATTTCACGAGCTTCCAGGTAACTTTCTCGCCCTTGGCGCGGCCTTCAATTTGTCGGATAAGTTTGCGGCCGAGGTTGTCGCAAGTGATTCGCTTGATCTCGGGGATGTTGCCTCTGAGGATTGATCAGTACCATACATATGGAATTGGTGATACATGTGTGTGCTTACTCGGCGAATGCTGAGTACATGACTTCTTGCAGCTTGGAGGCGTAGCGTCGGCGGTCCCGGAGGAGAAGTGGGAGGTTGTTTTCGCGTTTGCAGTATTGGAGCAGACTGCCATGAAATGAGTATGCGTTCAATTTATATATGGATAGAGAATAAACCAACCTGGTGTAGTTGCTGAAGAAGGACTTCATCCACGTCCATTCCATGTGGAGTCTGTCGCGAGGTGCCTGGAAGATGGAAGGCATATCCCTCCACAAGGGACGAACGAAAGTACCCGGTAGCAGTCCAATGTCATTTGGCAAATCAGTCAATTTCATGTCCTTTGTCCTGGTCTTGAATGAGGGCTGCGCGACACTTGGAGGACGGAAGTTCACTGCGCGGCCACCGGCCCATTGCTGGGAGGTCTGAGAGAAGGACCGGCATTGGGAGGAGGCAGCCAGATTCGACTGGGAGATATTGCGTGGCACAGCCACCGGCAATCGTAGAGTAGACGCCATGGCGAGACAAATAGGAGGGGGATATGTGAGTTGAAGTGGTTCCTGGCGAAGAACAAAATCCGCGGAACCACGAAAAAGACACCGCCCACAGCTGGGGCTGACATCTGCCCAATTAGGAGACCCAGAAACAGCTTGACAACACCCAAATTTAAGGGCACGTCTCAATCACTTCACAATACCACCTTCTCTTCCTTGCGAGGCGGCCGCATACGCCGTGATTCAAAATCAAGGCTGGCTCCTCCTCGACGTAATGCCTCTCCTCCGCCATACACTCCCCACAACCAACACCCTCCAGACTTGAACATCACACGACCCGCTGCTCCACCCAGCTATTTCAATCCTCCAGCTACTCTTCTCTCAAGTGAGCCAACCAAAGAGGTGGCTTCTCTATCTGCTTCGGCCGCTGTCCCGCCGTCCCCGACTTCCACTCATGCCCCACCCAGCAGCGATGCAGGCCACACTGCTACCTCAGCCCTGCATCCGCGGGTTGCTGTCATCCTAGGAGTCGATCGCAAGTGGTATATTCCCCTGCTCGTATGTCGGGCTCTGAGTACACTACCATCTGCGTGGTGGGGACTGCGGTGCGCTTTTACATTCCTTGCCGAACTGCTGCATATTCGACCGGGAATGGGACGGGAAGGATGGGCGGCGGCAATTATCGGCAGCGTAGGACAGGAATGGGATGTTGAGAGGAGGTTTCGCGTGACGGAGGTGGCATTGGCTATCATGTGGGTATGTTGTATGGTTTTCCCTATTGGGGAACATGTCTTCTGCTCAGCTCTATGTTTGATACTAATTCCTCTCCAGTGCAGCGCATCCGCATATCTTTCTTATTTCTTCACTGACTGCTTGATGTCTCGATGGTTGGTCCTTGACTCAGATGATTTGGTATTGTTAAGTGTATTGACAATTCTAGGCTCTTAAACTACACCCCACCGGCCGTTGTGATTCGATTGCTTACGACGAATGGCCTGATTGCATACAGTACATCTTGGGTACTTTATCTATCTGGTGCATCTGTTGATCCTCGACACCTCTTACCAGCCTGGATTTCAATAACGACTGTACGTTCTTCCATACATTGCTGATTCTCCTTTCATGGGCCTGACATCTACCAGTTGTTAACATTCGTCTACTACGCTACTCAAAACCATGCCAAGATCAAGCGCGAGACAGCAGCATCTTTACTGGTTGTCCTTGTCGCAAGCTTCCTTACCATGTCGTTGCTTCTACTACAGCTGCACCTGACCAGAGAAAACGAATCAGAGGTGCCCGTTTTTGTGTTCTCTCGCAAGCTATGGGACTGGGCTACGGCTATTTTCTTGCGTATGCGGATTGCAGATGAGCGTCCGGGGCTTGGAGAACTGTAGCTCCGCACCTGGGGTGAGTACATTTTGTTGGATTTTCGTCATTGATACTTTTTTCTTCTTCTTCTGGGGTGCATTAGACATCTATGCCTTCAATTGGTTATCTGGACAAGCGATTCAAGCGTTCTTGATCCAACATCATTGCACATTTTCGGAATTTGTTTTGGGACGGCTTTCCTTTTGCTCAAGCACTTTTATACCCCTCGTCTAGGGATTTTTGCCATGTTTTTCCCTTATATTCTACTAAACGGTCTTTGATAGATCTCACTTCCAATTTACTCAAAGATTAGCACATATGTCACTAGCGTATTCTGTGGATCAATGGTACTGTATTTGGTTCAAGGCTGCGTCAGAGACATATGATAGGGTAGTCAGATCCCTGGTTCTTAAAGGAAAAGGTCTACTTGGGAGATAGCAAGTGGAGGACCCATCACAAGGGAATGTGTTGGACAATAGATACTGATAAAGAAGCCGAGCCAAGCACGTCCTCATTTCAACCTAGATCTCCCCGAGAAGCCAGAGTGACGAATTGACCATTAGGATGATATGGCAATAAGCAAACCAAACTGAATCAACTTCGTTCGTGGGTAAGAATAAGGAGAAACAAAGTCATGAAAAGGAAAAAAAAATGTTGTCTGTCTATGCAGATATTGGGTATCTACCAACGCCTCGTTCCGTCATAATCCCGTCCTCGAAAGATATTGGTCGAACCCCTCGCCCAACCGACCATGCGGGTTAGGCCGACAGGGGCCACATAGATTTAGCGAGTTATTTCGACCAAGACCCAGATCTAAGACGCCAGGCACAGAGTAGTAGGTGGGGCAAGCATGACTTGATCGACGTGAAGGCCGGTACATCGTACGGCCGGCGGATGAGGGATGCACGGCAAGCTTCCTGTCCAACCGCTCACGGGGCAAAGTAAACTGGGAAGAAGGGACCGGAACAAGGCAGTATGTTGGTGACGGGCTTAGAAACCGTGGACCTGGTGGAAGGAATGTTAGATAAGTGGAGCGAGGATGTATGAGGTTGACAGTGACATACCTTGATGCTCTTGGCATCAAGCTCGAGGCCGTCCTTGTCGGTCAAGAACTCCTGGACATCCTTTCTCTGGTCACCCTGCAACTGAATCACCTCACCCATCTCAGTGTCAGTGACGATGGTGCCATTGCAAGCTGTAATGAGTTAGCGATTTGATCGGAATGGTGCGAAGGAACCCAAGACCCACCGAACTTCTTCTTGATGACCTTCAGAATCTTCTTCTGGTCAAACTTCTTGGGAAGACCCTGAACAGTAGTCAGAGTCTTACGACCATTGCGCTCTGTGAAACCCAGTTGTTAGCATGTACCCCCCTATTAGCGCCGACGAGCTGCAACGACAGCGACGTGCGGGGAACGAGGATGGAAAAGACGTACGCTGAATCCGAATATGGATGTAGTTCTGAGACTGTTTAGTCTCGCCGGTATCTTCGTCGGCTTCGGCGAAGGGGTCTGTGAGGCGTGCGAGTCAGCCTCAGTCCAGTACCAAATTTCTACCCCGCCGCGATGACACTCGGTGAGACAGAGGCGGGGGCGAGCTGAGTTCCACATCTCCAACCCATCTAGCAACCGAATATGCATCTCATCTCGCGTGAAGAGTCGGAGCTGTGGATATGCGTGTATGTGGGGTGCCCAACACGCGCGCCCGGGAGGGGAAAGTGGCGAACTCACCGAAGGTCTTGAGGTTTTCGATGGACATAAACTCGACCTTTTCGAAGTAAACGGCGTTTAAAAAGGGTATTGGTAAGTTGCGCGAAGGGCGAGATTCAATATCTCTGTAAAAGGATCGGAGTGTTTGTAGTGAGAGGAGTGGAGGCTGTGGTTGTAGAAGAAACAGAGAGAAGCGGCGGCAGAGCCTTTTGAGGACAAGAGTCACGTTGTGGGGGGAAGGCGGTGTGTGACTAAGCGATTCTCCTGTCACTTCGATCTCATTGTATACAATACATCTCCCAAGTGACAAAGTACTGAGGATTTCGATTTAGACTACTTAGTACACGGCTAGTGGCAGTGGCAAGCATCTTGGCTTGTCCTTGCCAGGTGAACTTCGAGTTCAATATAGATACAGCGTCGCCAGAGAAGGCAACGAAACAAATCACAGTCCCTGAACCGAAAACACCAATCTGCGAGCAAATAATCCATTGTAGCTTATGGTAGACTGTGGAAATTATGGTATGTGTAGAAAGAAGGCGTGTTGGGTCCGGCCGGGCGTTCAAGGAGATGGCGACGGGGTTCCGGCGGCGACACCGCCAGGAGCCTGCGGGGGGAGGAAGAGGGGGAAATAGGTCTGTGAGATTGTGTTAGATTGAGTATACCACGAAAGCAGGCAGGCAGTACATACAACACACAATGCCATCACTATGTCGCAGTAAGAAGTTAGCCAACCGGGACGAGCTAAAGCGGAGAGAGATAGGCGGGGAGAGATACGAACAGGACATCAGAACCGACATGTATGCCGGGGTAGAAGCATTCTTCTTCTGGTCTGGGGATTCACCCAACCAAGACTGGAGCGAGAAAACGAAGGACACCCTGCTTCCGTGTCAGCTAACTGGGTCAGGCCACCGACACCCAACCATGCACATACCATCCGATCATGCTGCGCGCAGTATGTGTTAATAGAAATTCAAGGATCGTGTCCAATATACCAGCATGCGCTTCACTCACCGGTTGCGAGTAAACATCTAAATGAAGAGGGGACGGGTCAGTGCTCATGTTTTTGTAACCATGGGCTAGATCTAAGTCACAACTTACAGCTGCCATGGGCATAGTGCTCGACATTGTGCCTGTTGCATCGCACAATCAGCTTGGTCCTTGGCGATCTGGTTATTACCGTGTGAAGGGAATTGATCGCGTACTGGAGATATCGGCATCGCTGCTGCTCTTGGGTGGATCGACGTAGGGAATCGCTGGAGTTTTCCACTGTTAGCTGTAGAACAAGAGATTAGGGACAAAAACTTTACCCAAATCGGCCCTGCGCATGTCTTTCTTTGAGGCCATGGTGTTGAATTTGTGTATGGGGAGTGTTGGAGGAAGGTCGAGGTGGCGCCAAGATGCCAGTCTAGGCTAAGGTCGAGAACCCCGGATTGAATATCTCCGAATGAACGCTCCGATCTCGGTTTTTTTGACTCGTACGCCGTACTACTGGTCCTTTGTTATCTTCGTATCTCCCGAATTGAAGTGAGGTGTTCAGATCCCGGCTAAGACTCCGATCGAGTTTCCTAGGGTGACTTGGGCCTATTACCACATGCAAGTCGATATTCGAGCTGAGTGTTGGGCTTGAATGATAGGCAATACTTGGCAATACGGTCTAGGGTTACGCCATCCAGGAGATCATTGCGTCCCAATACCAAGGTGTGATCTCGTGCAGGTGTGATGTGCATCAGGTTTTCTCCCTTGCATCCAACATGCTCGAGAGATCAATCCTCCGTACCACCGTAAACCTGGACATTCTACAAATGTACATAGGGGTAACAATTACGGAGGGTTCCGTATGGTGTAGGGAGTACTTTGCAACCGTAAAATAGCAACAGAGTAAGTTCCAAGATGTGATAGAAGTATGATCATATTAAAAAACAGCCCCCCAAGAATAGATTGTAGCGGTAAACGATGTGTGTTCCCGGCAGCCGACGGATCTCTCATGAATCGGCAATTCGGATCAAAAGGGGCAAATAGTTGCGGAAAGCTGCCCGGTATTACAAGTCAGCCCATAGACAATCATATGATTAGAGTGTTCGGGTACACCGTCTATTCACAGATCACAGTGTCGATCCCTTTTACGTTATCTTGTACTTGCTTCTTCTGGACTTCCCCCATCTTCAACTCTTCAATGATTTTACTTCCATACACCATGAGCCTAAGATGAACCCCCATTCCTCTGCCGGCGGCCAACCATGGGGCCACCCTTTGCGAACATTCAATGGCGTCGGACGGGATAATGCGATGGCCCAGCTCCCGCAGCCGATCCGACAACCCACCGTCGTCGACCTGACAGCAGGCCCAGAGTCGCAGGACCGAGAACCGCCATCCAAACGACCGAGATTAGAATTACCTACCTCAAATACCCCGGAGGCTGGCGCAGCAACGGAACCGAAAAGCACCCCGGCCAACGCAAGTGCGCGACCTGCCATCTCGTGGCGCGGCCGTCCGCTCTGGTCCTTCCAAGCGGTTATATCAGATATACCAGGCAATGACAACCGGAACGACAGCGCGGCCAGTTCGAAGCCATCTCCACCGCCGCTCCCCGCCCAGCCATGGCAGACTCCCACATCCGCGGTAACTGAGACGCCGGCGCCCGGTCCCATCAAGTCGAGGGAAAGCTCCCCAGTCGGAGAAGTACAGACAACACCATACCGCATTGAGACTCCAGCTGTCGCCCCGGTCTACAGAGGGAACAGTAAATAAGCCCGGCATAATCGTGACTCAAAAGGCTAACGTGTTACAGAACCCGCTGATTTCGCCCCATGGACCGGCAACCACCCCGAGGACGTCTTGGACCAGCAGACTGCGAAACAGGGATATTATGATCGGACACAGGTTTCGCAGAACGAATCCAACACCGCGCGTCCTGCATTGTATGCGCAGTTAAAACACCGCACGGGACTACAGATGCTCTCTTCAGTGTTTGCCGCGGCACTAGAGAAACGCCAAACACACAACACCGTCCACGCTCCGTCAACCTTCAAACCACCACCCCGAGTGACACTCACCGATAACAAGCGGGAGGCTTGGCTTAGAGACCTCGCCAACCCGACCGTGCCACTTCGGCGTCTGAGCCGAACCATTCCCCACGGGATCCGAGGCAAGGTTCTTCTAGATCAGTGCCTAGGAAAATGGATACCTGTTGCACGCGCCGTTTGGTTAGGCAAATGCGTGGGTGCGAATGAGATTCGTGCCTTCAAGCGAAAAGGCACGAGCGGTGCTATGGCCGTTGGTTTGGAAGCCAAGTGGGTTAGAGACTGGACGACGAATGTCCAGCAGTTTGTTGAAGGGGTATTCAGCGCCCCAAAGTCCTCGGACTGGAAGGCAAAGATGACATATGCGTATGTATTTGTGGTACGCCTTCCAATGGGCAGAAATCACTAACGTTCTTTTGTTCTAGGGTTGGATTAACTGCCCGCCTGTTCTTCGAGAACCTTTTGGATCATGACCATTTCCTCGAATGGTTTCTGACATCATTCGAGGCTGCTTCCATTGGTACTGTTCCGGTATGGCTGTTGATGCTTGGAATATACTGGAATAGCATAATGCGCTATCGGCGCAGAGGTCGTCGATTAGCTGAGCTATTGCTAAAGAAGCTCCGCCTGGTACGTTCATGCCTCACTGAAGGTCCAAAACTCACGGTCACGCTCACAAATAGAAATAGGTGACAGAAGCCAAGTTGACGCAACTCCAACCTCTTATTGACCGTCTTTCTCGGTTCATTAGGAAGCTAGTTCGTGACCACACTTCCTCCATGATTTTACCTCAAAGTTGGGAGACATACAGCCAGCAAGTGTCATCTTCTCTTGATTTGACAAATGAGGCAGACAAAGCCCTGTTACAGAGTATTTCCGAGCGTAATGCTCGAGTACAGCGACCAAAACACTCCAACAAAACAACTCAACGCTCCCCACATCAACGCATCATCCGCCTTCTTGACTCCATCCGCCCCGCCCATGACATCTCTATCTCTACATACCTCGACGCATTTGAAGACAAGGCTATCTTGGTCTCCAAACTCCTAGAATGGCTCTCCACGCACTTCCGTCACGGCCTTCGCAGGGTCTACATTGCAGCTCGTCTTCTACGCAAGTGGAAATCCACCGGAGTCGATATAGACGGCCACATCCTCACATTTCTCTCTGGTGCACAAAAAAGCCAAGGTCTCGACATGGAACCGATCTACCACGTCATTTCCGAACTGGTCAGGTCACAAACCTTTTCGGTTGGCCGCTACCTTCAATGGCTCATGGCAAGAGGTGTGACAAATGGGGCCCCGTCCCAAGAGCTTAAGGTCAGCCTTGCATCACGAACCCAGAACTCATCATCACTGACCACTATACAGGTTGAGGACTTGCCAATAGATATTGGACTAATAGCGCAGCTTCCAGTGGGCCGTCTCCCAGAACATGTTGGGAATTTACGCAGCACTTTGCTATCACGCACCGGTCTCTGTGCCTCCAAGGAAGCGACAACTATTGAAAATGTAAAGAGCATCGTCAGCCGAAGCTTGCCGGAGATGTTTGGCCTTGACAGATCCGCTATAATGGAATTGGACACACTGCCATCAAACTTACCCTGGGCTGTGAAAGCCGAAGTTGGGAAGTGGCTTCGTCATGCGGTTGCGCAACACAACCACGGGCCAGCAGAGTGAGCATACAATCTTCCTTAATCCTTGTAGCAGGTTTTGTTAACTCATTTATAGGCACATCGCCAAGGTGTTCACCAATGACACTGTGTTCACAGTTTCTGCGCTTACCCCTACGGAATTCTACGTCGTTCGCGCGGTTTTTGAAACTTTTGGTGACATATCAATGCTGGCAGATGTGTTGAAATTTGCGTCTAGCTGCAAGGACAGTACAGTTCTTGCCTCAGTTGCCGACACGACGAATTGCCACTTTGATTCCATGTGCGTGATTGGAGCCACAGGCGATCTGTTTCGGAGACTCATTGACGCCTATGCCGGGGTCAAGAGGCTCGGTTCACCCAGTCTTGATTTAATATTCTCTCTGATTGAACTCGGTCTGCGGATTCCGAACGAACTCAACGCAGTTTCTATTCTTCGTCAAGATCTGTCTCGCATGGAGAACAAATCAATCGTGGCAGCATCTTCCCCTGTATCTGACCATATTCCTGACAGCTTCGGTGATATCGATCCTCTTTTCCGAGAGAAGCTTGATCAACTCTTGCTATCAGGCAACGTCATGGATGAGCCTACACTGGATACGCTCTTCAACGCATTGGCAAAGCATTTGGAAACTGACGGCGGAAAGGTTAATCTGTCTGCAAACGATACCTGCCGTTACCTTGCGCAACTGAGGTCATTCAGTCCAAAGCATTTTGATGGTATTCTCGCACGCTGGATATGCGGTCATCTGCGATCGTCTGATCGCACTGCTTTGCTACGAATTCTTCCGCCGCTGATCGGTGTTGGATGTGTCACAATCAGAGCTTTCTTGGCTCTTGCGAAGAGGTTAAGCAGTTTAGCCGTAACACCCATTCCGAACCCAGCGCATCTACCTGCCGAGCTTGTTCAGCTTCTCATATCTGACCCCAAAGAAAGCAAGTTGTTCGACCTCGTTTCTTACCGTTTTCAGCTTGCACAGCAAGAATTTCTTACCAAGAGCTCGGAGGAGGCACTGGGGATCGTTTGTGATGCTGCTTCATGCAGCGCTGGTGGCTCTCCGATTACGGCCAGTGAGCTAGAGGGGCCTATGGTCGAGCTGTTGCGTGATCTCCTCGTGCGGAACCCTGGGTGTGCGGCTCAGAACAGCCTTCAAAAGCTTGTTGACAAATATCCGGCTGCTTTGAGCGTTATTCAAAAGGCACTGGATCTTTTGCTGGGTGTCGAATCCCAACCGGGCAGCCAATCGGTTCTCATGGAGGTAGAGAAACTTGCCGGCATGACTGATGACTTCTCGCTTCCCTTTTGCCAATTGAAACTTCAAGTCCTGTTTGGTGCGGACTCAGCGACTGAAGATCGAGCTAGTATTGTCGATGCGATGTTCAAGACGGCCGTATCAGACAGCCGTGCCCATAGGCTTCATTGGGTAGACCTGGTCGCACTGATGAGTCCCGATGCCGTTCGACAAATTCGCGAGCGTGCCGAGAAGGAGTTCTTCTCCATTCCTATACTCGAAGAGCCGATGGGCGACTCGGCCTGTCCCTCGGCCAAGTTGAGCTCACTGGAAACTGCCAGACTCTATCTTACTATCATCGAGGAGCTTGGTACCAGCATTCCCGAATCTGGCACTCCGTCTGTTGCATCTGTTCTTGTCGACAAAATGGACTCCCTACTCCACAAGGTCATGTCCATGCACAACAACGTCTCCGCTGCCCCCGAAGGCGCAGCCGCCCCAAGCCGTTCAAAGTTTGAACGTGCTCTTGCCTTCTGGTTCTCTGCCATGCTGAGGATGATTGTCCTCCATCGGTCCGCATTTGTTCAATCACCCGCAGCACTAAAGGTCAACTCTCTGCGCGATCAGCTCCGACTATCGACATCTATCCTCTGTATCGCTCTCTCGCGTCTCCCAGGCGACCTACTGCGCCTCTATCCAGCCGCGGACTATTTCCCGCGGCCCAACTCGCCCGAAGATTTCCGTCCCTGTCCCGGGGTCCTATTACAAACCCACGCCCTCGATGTAGTTGCATCCCTGATCGACATCTTCCCAGACGAAGTTCGCGTGCAATGCGCTCGCTTCTTCAAAGAAAAATGCCCTTCATTCGTTCCAATGCAGAATGATTCCCGATTTCTGTACCTACTCGGTCCCATGACAGACCAATACCCCACAAACACGCAGCAATTCTCAGCGCCTTCACCTGCAGGATCCGGATCAACGCCGACTCCCACGCCCGCTCCAATGTCCACTATGGGGCCATCCCCGGCACAGCATTCCATTGCGGCGGCCTCCGGCTTGTCGACCGGCATGGATGGCTCGAACAATATGGCCAACCGGCTCCGGCTTCAACACCGTGGTCGCGTGCTGGGCCCATACCCTGTTCGTCCATGGGAATTGCTCGAGGATGCAGCTCCTTTCCTGGGTGTCAACGACACCGCTGTCAACCTTGGCTACTTTGACGCTAGACGCGTAAGAGCTTGACCGCAAATTGCTTTCACGGACTGAAAACGGCCTCTTTTCTGATATACCCCTTTTCCCATTCCATTCCCCCTCATAATACCCTCTTCGTTTTTCCCAAATGCACGTTTCTTATATCCAACTCACTTTTTCACTCATCCATTCTTCTATCTTCGCATCACATCTCACGACCCGCATCTGTTATCCCCAAGAGCGATTGCATACAGAGATTTGGCTCTGTTTTCGATCTTTCGTTCTAATTGCATTTCAATTCCCATCCCTTTTCTCCATCTTTTGTTTTTCTTCTCCCTTGGATTTCTTTTTTGGCGTGCATCACTATCCCCATACGGCATTTTTTCAGGTTTTGGCATTTGCGGATGATATCTTGCATCTCAAGAAGCATTTTGTATATATGAATCACGCTTCGGTTTTCTTTTAGTGCTCACATGGTATCGGGCTATCATGTTATAGCCTCCTGGGCCATCCAAATCAAATCATCACGCATCCTCCATCCCAATTCGATTCCTCGGTCCACTCCCAAATTCGTCCTCGCTCGTCGAGACAAGCATAGGCACGACAAAAGGTTGGGTCAATACAGGGAGTCTCACACCACGCCATATCTAACCAAGCCCGAAGCGTGGGGTGTGCTCAAGTGGGTCCAGGTGGAGCTGGGGTACGGGGTATGTAGATCGCGAATTGCACATAAAGAGAAAATTGGTTGTTCATGTCTGTAGTGGTTATCAACTACTCTGTGCCTAACGCCTGTCATTGAAGACCGCCATGCACATCACCGGCTTTCCTCGGTGTGTTTTCCGATCTCCCGATCTCAAATCCATGGGAGTCAGCAATGACCGCCATGACGCTCTCCAGCCAAGATCTTATCGCAGTGGAATTTGGATCCAGATGCAAATAAGCCACATTTAGTGGAAACACGAGGATATATGCACCAGAGCTTCGCCGGAAGCAACTCAGGTGATATGATACTATTCGACATATCTCAGTGGCGATATCGTTCCGATTGCCTTCCATTGGAAGAAGCGGGTCACTGACCCCCTGAAGCTGAATATCCTCTTGCTGAACTCCAGCTATTTGTAGAGTACGTGTGAGTATGAGACGCAGTGCGTTGTAGACGATGAGCTCTGTGGCTCGATTAGGATCGCTGAACCATATGATGGACTTGAACGGACTCGGAGGGAGAGAGATCGTGTCAATGTCGTATTCGACGGGGGTGGTGATGAATGTCGAGTTCGGAAATCTTGATTCCCAATCCCATCGCCAGGAGTATAAGGTCCCCAAGGTTGACAAGACTTGCGGGATAAACCATGAGGTGAACTCTATATTGCCGGGGACATTGGGGGTCCATGATAGTGCACCACTCAGGTCCTCTAGTATACCAGGTATGTCACAAAGGACATCATGCAATGTATCGGTAGGTGTCTTCGAGTCGAGACCTCGCTTGGCCCATGGTATGGTTTTCCACGCAGGCTGTTCGAGAAAACAACGCTTTCGTTCGACAAGATAGCCAAGGGCCTTCATGGAGCTTAATATTACGAGAAATTGAATCTGGAGGGCCATCACTCACGATACTTGACCTAATTGTAGGCATGAGGGCGAGTCCAACACCCGATTGATGTCTATGTGGCCCTCTCAGCATCATCTGCTCGATGTTAGTTAGCACTGTGAAGCCACACCAACTCCCTTTTGGCAATTCCCAGACCCACCAATTTAGCCAGTCCCTTATAGTGCGAAAGCCAAGCCTTTGGATGTGTCAGACAGATCAACTCGTAGGTAGCGAGTAGAATGATGGCAATGAGGACATCATCCCCAATCGCCTGCTCCTGCCACTGTAGTTTTATTTGCAGCATTTTGAGAGCATCGGCATATTGTTTTGCGCCCTCTCTCATTATTCGAGGCTGCTTGTTCATCTTGCCAAAATAAACCGTGCTCAAGGCGCGTATCGAGGCCGTTGACAACTCCGTTCCATTGTCCTGGCTTAGGAGGATCGAATCCCATGTCGCATGGGGAGATGTAGAATCTCCATCCCAGTCAAAGATTCCTCGTAGAAGATGTGTAGTCATTATATCATTCTCGTTCCATGACGGGTTGACGGTTAATGGGAAGTATGAATTGAAACTGAAATCGAAATTGATGGCATGTTCCAATGGTGACTCGGAACGGTATAGAGGCCTGGAGGTAACAGCTGGAGAGGGAGCTCTTCGTAAGATCTTGCTTTTGAGGCGACTTGTTTCATCGATGAATTGAACGAATTCCACATAGCCACCGCATTGGAATCCGGCTTTGTGGCAACGGTCACAAAGTGGCTTTCCCTCGTCTAGTGCAAGTTTCAGGTCAGAAACTCGCGTTCGATGGGGTGGCATACATACCGCATTTGACCTTGCGGCGACGACAGGTCCGGCAACCTTTGCTTCGACCCCCGGTCCCGACCATGATGTGGTGTCTTGGAGGTGAGGTTGGTGAGATGCGTTGTTTAGACCAATCAACGCCTAGTGGGGCAAGCTAAGCTCTATATAAAATTGCAGATCACAGATTGTCTTTCGCACAAGGGCTGCACCAGTAGGTATTTGGAAGCTCTACCTCTTTACTTTACAGTAAGGAAATGAACTGCAGAAATACAAACGATTCAAATTGCTAAAGGGCCTTTTTTTTTGGTCTTTCGTGTTTTCCTGATCAGTTATGAGCTGAGGGTAGAATAAAATCATTAACGCGAACAATAAATGTATTTGATCAAAGCAGAATTGGTAAAGATAAGGACAAGGATATCTCGTCGGAGCAAATTTCGCAAAGTGTTCCTTTCCATAGTAATTGCATTCCCATTCTCGCCATCTCGCCATCCTTCACTCTCCCCCTCAAGATAATCAAGCTCGGTCGCCTTGCGGCTCGCTCGTATTGAGTATTTACCGCCCTTAGTTGGTGGACTCGTCGGCGTCGTCCGCACTTTCGTCGTGGGGATCCAGACCTGCTGCCTTGCGCCCTTTCTGGCGCCACTCATCTTGAAGCTCCCCGATAGCATCTTCCAAATAGCCCTCATCACTGAATTTGAAGTCAGGGTCCTGTGCAAGCCGATCGGCATACACCTCGCGAGTATACTGCTCAATGCTCTTGCCGGTATCAGTCTTGGGCTGGTACTTTTTCTTGAGCTTTTTTGGCTTGCTGCGTCGAGGAAGGGAGCGTGTAGGGGTAGTCTTTACAGCTCTTGATAAGCCAGGCCGGTCTATGACTTCGGGTATCGCAGGTGTCTTGCCTTTGTCACGCTTGGAGGGAGCAGCTGTTGCCTCAGGAACCACGGTGGAGGTAGAAAACTGGGACTCAGCTTCTGTCTGTGCAGAGTCCGAACATTCCCGCAATTCTGGACTGGCAGTAGTATTCTGGCACGGTTCATCGTCGGTTTCTGGGGTCTTGGTGCCGGGTACCTCATCGGATGTTGCATTGCTCTCCAAGCTTCTGGTTTCAAGTGCCAAATTCCCAGCTTCACCACACACAGACTCTCCATGCTCGGTGCCAAGATCTTCAGCTTGACTAGTCGCCTCAACTTGATGCACTTCTCGAATCACGGCGTGACTAGGCTCGTTGGTGCACTCGGTAGGTAGGGGCTCGGTCTGCTCACCTTGCAGCTTTGGCTCAAGCTGGGGCTTTTTTGGGTCATTCTCAGGCTCAAGAGTCTCATTTGATGTCTGAGTTGGCTCAAGGTGAGACTCGATAAGCTTCTTCGCGTCACTGAGGTTGAGTTTCTTTTGCGTATTATCCGTATCTGTGGGAATTGGTGGCGAGTCACATCCCCCATCGGTGATTGAATGATGACCTCGATTAAAGCGTCGTCCTCTCTCGGTATCTTCCGAATCAGCTGGGTCAACTCGGGTCTGAGTCAACTGAGAACCAGATGTCCTCGCACCAGTAAAGCCTCCTGTGTATGGCATTTCCATGTCAGGATGACCGTATTGATGATCGGTGGTGATTGGATATTGGTGGTACTCTAGCTGCATGTAACATCCGGTTGATGGATCAATCCAACCTGGGGCCGTTCCAGAGGCTCCCTGATCAGGGGTGCTGTGGTAAAGCTCTCGGTGATGCTCCGTATCATATTGAGGTTGGCTGGAAACGATCAACGGCCCTTTGTATTCGGTTGTTGCTCTGTGTGGAGCAGCTCCAGCAGTTGTCGGGGGCTGCGACATCATGGGAGGAAGAGTAGCAGGAGGGTAAGGGCCCGGTACACACAAAGAAGGAAATGCAGGGTTTGGCATCATAGGATAATCAAATGTCGGTGGGCCTTCAGGTACTGGACTGTAGAAGACAGGTGCACCAGTCATGACTCCAGCGGGTGGATATGCTTGCGGGTAGTTCTGGGGAAGGTTGTTGCCGTGATACGTATGAGGCAAGTTCCCAAAGGCCTGAGGGATGTTAGGATTATAACCCTGACTGAAGTTACCCCCACTGGCAAAGCCGGGAGCAAACTGATTGCCTCCGTTGTAATGCTGAGCAGGAGAATTTGGAGATGAGAAAGTCGGAGAGGGGAAACCTGGAGAGGAGAAATTCTGGCCGTTGAAACTCGAGTTGGGAGTGTGTGGGCCTGAAAAGGATCCTCTGTGGCCAGAGACATTGCGATAGCCACCTCTTCCGTAGTTTCCATTGTTTCCACCGTTACCATTGATGTTGTTATTTCCATTCCCATTTCCGTTGCCATTGCCATTTCCGTTGCCATGACCGTTGCCGTTGCCGTTGTTCCAGTTTCGACCACCCCTGCGGTTGAAGCTACCTCGAGGGTTCCAGTTGCGGTTCTGGGGGTTGTTCGGGCGCTCCATTCTGATCAGATAGATTTCCTTGTCGTTTTTAAAGACCTAGGGGAGTTAGTAGACTTCTGGGGAGTTGAGATAGCAACTTACTTTCAATGCGTTCTGGCAATCGCCGTACTGTACGAAGACAACCGTGCCGTATTTAGTCTTCTCGCCGTAAGGGCCTTCACCCGTAGTAACTGTCAGTGTCTCGTAGGCGCCCAAATCGGTCAGTAGCTCTTCGATCTTTGGAATGGTGATGGGGTTTTGATTGCGGTAGCCGATGAAAGCAGTTCCTATAAGAAAGTTTCAAAGGTCAGAGACGAAAGGAAAGAGAGAAGAGAAAGGAAAGAGAGGAAAGAGAGGAAAGAGAGGAAAGAGAGGAAAGAGAGGAAAGAGAGGAAAGAGAGGAAAGAGAGGAA